TGCTATCAAGCTCCGAACATGAATGATGTGAAGTGCTTTTACTTAGGTATATCCCAGAGGGAATAAGTTCTTGTGATGAACTCTTGGAGAAAAGTCGGCTAGGAGAAAACCCCAACCTTCCTTTTTCTCCTGGCCATGGGGTACTCCTGGCAGTGCTTGGGGCTCTAAATGGTTCCAGGGACTGAATTCTGGGCTTACACGTATAAAACATGTGTTCCAGCCCTTTGAACCCTCTCCCTGGAAGCCCATTATACATTTTTCTATTTTTATAGTTTTGTTAGTTTGTTTGGGACAAACTCGATGGTACTCCTGGCTCTGTGCTCAGGGATCACTCCTGGCGACCTCAGGGAACCATATGGGGTACTAGGGGATCAGTTGTATATAAGGCAAACACTTTACCCACTGTACTATCACCTTTAGCCCCCATTTTTAAAAGAAGGTTAAGAAGAAACAGATTTGTCCTTGACCCATGGGAACCACATAGGGAAGAGAGTGCTGCAGTGTGCTGTAGTCCCATGTTGGTCCCTCAGTGGTCCCTGAGAATGTCCCCCATGTCCCCAACTCTGGTTTCGGTGGCACAGGGTGTCTGGTTCCCTTCACAGAGTTCTCTGAGACCCGTTCTTTCCTCTTGGGGACTGTGGAACATCAGTCGGATAGCAACACGTATGGCCATGCCTTCTTACTGAGATGACACAGGCTGGGCTGGGTGCAGTGCTTGACACTGTGGGGACCGAGCCCATATGACACTGCTGCATGTCAGGCTACGTCAGGGATAGCTTGGAGGTGCTCTGGGGGGCTGGGCGTAGCCCTTCCCTGGAGGCCACTGGAGGAGGAGCAGCTTGGCATAAGAGGACGAGACTTGTACCCAGTGTGCCTTAGCACTGGGCTGTGTCTCCTAGTATGAACTCCCCGTCCCATGACTCAGAGTCACCTTTTAGATTTTGGGGGATGGTGAAGGGTCATGCTAGGGGCTGGGCAGAGACTAGAGAACTGTATCTGAGTACTCCCCATCTCTAGAGGAATGGAGTTGCCTCAGGTACAGCTCGCTAGTCTTTGGTTGGGGAAGTCCAGGAAAACCCACCCTGATCCACTCACACCCACCCCATCCTCAGGCCTCTGGACTGAGTGGTGGCACAGGGGTCAAGAACCTGGGACTCTTGGTCTCCAGCAGGACTGGAGTGGAGGTGAGGAAGTCTAGGTTGGGAGAGGGAAGATGAGAGGAGGAATGTGTCTGGTGCCCTTAGGTCTCTGCCAGGGCCCCAGGTCTGTGAGGGAGCAACATGTGGGCATGCAGGCCCTAGACCAACACTGGCACATGTGTGGACACCTGCCCCAGTGCCATTGTTGGTGTGTGCATGCATACCTGTCCCAATAATTATGGTTGGCATGTACATGCACACTGGCTCTGGGTACCATTGTTGGCACAAACTTGTACATCTGTCCCAGTACCAGTGTTGATGTGTGCACATGCACCTGCCCCAGTAATCATTGTTGGCATTTGTACACACACTTGCTCTGGGTACCACTCTTGGTGTTTGCATGCACACCTGCTCTGGGTACCATTGTTGGCACATACTGGCACACCTGTCTCAGTATCATTATTGGTAAATGCTCTCACACATGCCATGGGCCATGGCTAGCACATGTGTGCACATTGTTTCCATTGTTTTCCCATGCTCTCCCGTGCCCCAATACCACTGTTGGCATATGGTCACACACATGCCTGGGCTCATCCTCATTAGTACAGGTGCATGCTGGCACTGGACATGTGTTGGGGCACTGAGATGAATGAACTCACCTTTGTGTTGAATAAACAGTGTGAAGAACAGTATTTTGTGATGGAAGAGGGTTTACCCGCAAGGCCATCTATACAGGGATGAGGAGGGACTGTGGACTGCTTTGGGAAGCTTGGAATGGGAAACTCTCCAATCCAAACCCCCAGGTTGAATCTTCCCACGCTAGAGTTGCCACAACTGTCCCTGGAGCTTGGAGTGTGGGCTGGACTAGGCAGAAGCCTTGGAACCAGATCCTATTCCACGGCTAAAGGGGTCGGGTGTATCTGAGAGATTGAAGCGGGCCTGGCATTGCATCAGAAGTTCCAGGTTGCCGGTAGCAGTCAGGAGCTCCGGCTGTCATTCTCTGCTATAGAGCGGTGGTTTCAGGGCACTCCTGACAATCTGGGGAAAGTTAATGGAAGTTTAACGGACCGTGGATTTCAGCCACTGTAGGTGTGACAAGTTCGGAAAGAGTATCCTGCAAGGGTGGTTCCCCTGGGGTCTCAGAAGCGGAAAAGCTGTGGCATGGAGCCCATTTTCTGTGCATTCCTGGCCCACAGACCTCTGACCTCAGCTCAGGAGAGGGTGCTTGGCCTCTGAGCAGTGCCCCACTGCTGATGGTGGAGGTTTGGGGTCTATAACAGGCCTGTCCCTTGCAGGGTCTAGCCTGGGTCAGTAGTGGGAGACTCCCAGCTCCCAGGATGCTTCTGGTCACCTCAGAAACCCTGGGTCCTGCTCTGGGCATGCTAGTGCACCTCCAGTGAGAGGAGGTGGACAGGTTTCCTAGCTACTATTTTTAGGGTTCCTGCCACAAAACCTTGCTTTGTTTTTTTGTTTTTGAGACTGCCACTTTATACCTGTTCATGCCATAGTTTAAAATCATGAAAGCATTATAACTGTATGACACAGTGATTGAATAAAAAATAAAATAAAATATTTAAACATTGGAGTTTGGGGCCACACCTGGCTGTGCTCAGGGCACTGTCACTGTCACTGTCCTCTTGTTGCTTATTGATTTGTTCGAGCTGACCCAGTAACGTCTCCATTGTGAGACTTGTTGTTACTGTGTTTAGCATATAGAATACGTCACGGGTAGCTTGCCAAGCTTTTCCGTGCGGGCGAGATACTCTTGGTAGCTTACTGGGCTCTCTGAGAGGGGTGGAGGAATCGAACCTGGGCCGACCAGGTTGGCTGTGTGCAAGGCAAATGCCCTACCCGCTGTGCTATCGCTCAGATTTTTTTTTTTTTAAGTCAGTGGCACCATCCTCTGCCTCCCACCCACCAGTCTGCCTCTAGCATTTGTAAAATAAATTTTTGCCCTGTGGTTTCCAGTCCTGTTGCTGATAGGTTTTCATGCAGATCTCGCTACCACCTTTCAGCACCTCTCCTCCTCCCGGCTGAACATTTCCCTCCACCATAGTTGTAGCCCCTTTCCTGTCCTCTCTCCAGGCCCGACCAAGCGGCAGCAGGCTTCCCACAGAAGACCGGTTCTCATGTCTCTCTTTTCCATTGTCTTTGTCATGCTATGAAATTGAGGCTGAACCAGCAGATTGTGCATCAGAAAGGTCTGTTTGCCAGACCTTCCAGGCTTCATGCAACTGTTGGTTCAGGTTGGGACATCAGCGCCTTCTTGCTACTGTGCTGTTTGGCACAGGATTAATTCTTTCTGACCAACCACAATACTTTTTTACAATTCTGCACAAGCTGCACTGCCTGTCGGAGTGCAAGATCTTGCAGAAAATAAGTGAGTTCCGTTTGTCCCCGGGTTGCTGGCTGGCAGGCCCTGGACTTGTCTCTGTAAGAACAGCACCAGACGGGAGGAGCTGATTTCACCCTCCATGGAAGAGGAGCGACTCAATTGACATTCCTTTGTAATTTAGCAGCGGGTTAATGGCCACTTACTGGAAAATGTTACCAGGCTCTGCGGTGAGTGTTTTTAGAAACTGAATTACTCTGTATATTTCCCTAGGGCCCTTTCCCCCTGCTCCCGAGGAGACACTCCGAACTGCAGGAAGTGGCATTGTGTTGCAATCGTAGTTTCATAGTTTCCTTATTTCTTTGTGTTTATTTTGCATCTTCAAATCCAGTATACTGCTTTTAATGGTACCAGGGACTTGCCAAGAGGCCCAGGAGTAAGTGACAGGGGGCGGCTGGGAGACTTACTGGACGGCCCCATCTGAAGCTCCTGGGGACCAGATGTGGTCCAGTGCCTGGCAATATCTACTCTATATGTAGTCAGTTGAGTGGCACATCCCTCCGGCTCAGTGTCCTTGCCTGGGAAATTATTCCAAACAGCTGGCCACTTCCTGGGCTTGGTGTCATGGCTCACGCAAAACCTTTGCTGGGTCATAGAGGCAAAAGAAGGTGTGAGCTTCCCAGTTTGGACTAAGATAGGCTCCCAGGCTTGCCGTTATTTGTAAGCTGTGTGACCCTCTCTGGGCTTCAAGATTTTACTTGGCAACAACAGGTACCCAGGGAGAAAGGAGCAGGAGTGGAGAGAACTGACATGAAGCTCAGCACAAGCTGAACTCTCTTCCTTGACAACTTAGAAATAAAACGGCGAGAGAACGCCTCCCTTGTTGGCCGGGAGTGTTGGTGCCTAGCGGAGTGGCGGTGGGCAAGAGCAGGTCCACTTTCCACCAGGACCCATCTGCCTTGGGAGGCTAGAGGTGTCAGCGGTCACCGTGGGGCATCAGTGATGGTGTAGCTGGGTGCGGTTGTCTAGTGGGCCCATGCTTCTTCCCTCAACCCCGAACCCTGGCACTGGTTTCTGTTTGGAGAGCAGGCAGCACATGGCCGCTGGCCATCTGGAGTCTGTGGGGAGGTGTCCCAGGGAATTCACCCTGGGATGCCGCCTCCTTCCGGTGCGGCTCATGTTTTCTACCCATTCCTCCTCGGCGGGCATTCTGGCCTCTCCCGAGCAGATGAAGTAATTGCCACCAGCCTCCCCATTAACGACGAAGGCAGCTCTGCCCCTCACCCACATGTGTGCAGGATGCGTCCACTGGGGCTGCTGGCGGCCACCCTCCCCAATGGTTCTGAGGCCTACGTGTTGGAGGTCTGGTGGAATTCCCCGAGTGTGCCCTCCCGTTTCCCCAGGCTGGATGGTGTCGCTGGGCCCTGCCCGCAGCAGCTCCAGGAAAGTGGCCAGTGCACCTGGCAGGCCTGCAGGAAAAAGGGGTGTGCACTGACGCGGCTGTGGTCTGCTTCTCTCGTCCCCTCCAGAGTACAAGAAGAAGTACGGAGAAGAACACGGCTCATGCCAGGCAGGCATAGCAGGCTTCTTCACCGAGGTGGGTATCAGAGGGGACATTTCTCATCTTGTGGGGTGGAGGTGTTCCTCGCTGATTGATCTCGGTAGCCCCCCGAGATGGAGCTTTCAGCACCCCATTGCATTTGAGAATGAGTAGATTGCTGTCTTCACATTCAGGGAAGGATGCTCAGGTGGGAAGGATGTGGGGGCACTGGCCGGAGACAAGGTGGGTGGGGTAGGTTGGCTCATCTGGAGGAGACCCCTCCTTAGACCATTTCCCTCAGAGTGGGCTGGGCTCTGTGACCCCAGGAAGGAGTGGGTTGGGGGGCTGGGCTCTGTGAGACCCGGCTTGCCTTGCGGAGCTGTGTGAAGCCTGGTTTCCCTCTTCACAGTGGGGAGATGAGCAAAATTCCCACCATTCCCGCTCCCGCATTCTGAAGGCAGTGGTGACTTTGAGGGGAGCACTGTGCCCTTTGTGGTGGTTTTCACTCTTCATGTCAACAGCTCCAGCATTTTCTGACCCGCTGCCATGTACCAATTTCTACGCCAGTCTCTGCAAGTGACACCAATATCCATGCCAACAAATAAATCATTATACTTTCTCCCACCTTTGTCTTTTGGTTTTTGGACCACATCTGGCAGTATACAGGGCTTACACCTGGCTCTGAGCTTAGTGATCACTCTTGGCAGTGCTGAAGATCAAACCTGGGTTGGCCCAGTGTAAGGTAAATGCCCTAACTGTTGCTCAAGCCCTGAAATTCTGCTGTTCGAAGTTCCTACACACACCCCACAGAGGACTGCTCTAATGACCGTCATTGTCACCTCCAGGGTCACCCCCACCCTTCTAGAAAAGCCACAGCCAGTGCCTGGATGTGCACTGGATGATGTACTCACCTCTCTGCATCAGTTCTGTTTCTCCCAGTGATGAAATGTGCAAAGCATAAAGCTCACCATTTTTTGGCTTTTCGGTTTTTGAGGCCACACCTGGTGATACTCAGGGCTTACTTCTGGCTCTACACTCAGGAATCACTCCTAGCAATGCTTGAGGGACCATATGGAATGCCAGAGATCAAACCAGGCTGGCTGCTTGTACGGCAAGCTTCCTACCTGCTGTACTTGTGCTCCAGCCCCCTGGCTCATCATTTTAAAGCAAACATGTTGGTGGCCTGAGTGTACTCATTGTGTGACATAGCTTGTTTTAGAGTATGGTCCTCACCTCAGTTTGCATCTGTTCTCCATCCCCCCTGTGTGGGGTCTGCACTCCGCCCCCGGCACCTTTCTAAGTCAAGTCCTACCACCTGGCTCTAGGACCTCCCTCATGTGGTAGGCTAAAATGTAAATTTGATGTCAGGGAGGTATTAGTGTTTCAAGGACGCCTCTCGGGGGATGCTTAGACCCCCTCCTGGGCACCCCTGTAATTCTTGGACCCCAAGGTACTGGGAATTTCTGGAAATTGGGGGCCTCCATGGATGCACTTGGCAGTGCTCAGAGCATGTCGTCAGGGGGTCAGTCCAGGGTGAGCTGTGTGCATGGCATGAACTCTAACCCCCATTTCAACTGCCCCGCCCCCATTCTCTTACATAAAAAAATTATCTTAATCCAGCTCACATTTATTTTGATATATTTTGGTGGTGCTGAGGATCAAGCCCACAGCATCACACATGCAAGGCGAGCTCTGTGCCCCTGAGCTCTTGCCTCCACCACCCCACCCTCTGGCTTGCATTCACTCTCTGCTAACATTAGGTGGTAGAAATAAAGCTTTATCAGTCTGGCTGACTTGCTGCTGGCCTGCTAGGTGGCATTCCTCTCCCTGTTGCTCTGAAGCACCCTCCCGCACTCTCCTCTTCTTTCTCAACAAGACTCAGACTGCGGAACCTCAGACTGGCGGCCCTTCCCATTAGGTTTAATCAAGTAGGGCTTGGCTCAGTGGGCAACAGGGATCCCCCTCCCCACCAGCCCTCACCGGGAGTCTGCAGACAGACCATGCCCAGGAAAAAATTGTGAAGCTAGAAGTCAGGCTGTTGGGATGCTATGGCAGGAGCTGGGAGTGAGGAGGGCGAAGGAGGCTGGGCAGGAGGTTGGAGGTGGTCCTGCCACAGAGCAACAGGGCAGGCTGGGGCAGCACCTTCTGAGCTTAGATGGTGGGGGGTGGACAGCAAAGCAGTGTCCGTGGGGCCTGTGGCTGCAGGGCTGTGGGATGGAGTTAGATTTCTCAAAAGCTGGTGGACGCGGAGCCAAGGAAGAATTCTGAAGAGGTGAGGTGATGGGTCCACTTTAGACATGTGCAGGGCGAGGTGGCAGGTGGGTCCCCACTCCCCTTCCACACTTTCGGAGGATGTTTGGGTGGAGAGACAGGAGCCCAGCCTGAGCTAGACCCAGCCAGGGACCCAGCCTTGGCTGTGCCTGCCCGAGGCTGGGTGGCGCCTTCTTTAGTTGGTGGGAGAACAGAGGCTGCTCGGAGAAAGGAGAGTGCAGAGCTGTGAGTGGAGATGTCAGGGAAGACGGGAAGATGTGGAGAGGGCTGGGTGGGGGCCAGCTTGGTCTAAGGAGCAGGAAGGGGGCCTGTGGATGGGGAAGGCTGGGTGACTGTGCCATCTTGGGGTAACCAGGTGGCCTAGAAGGTATATCCGAGACTTACCTCTCTGGATGCATAGCTGAAAGGATCCTGCTGCCTTTGTGTGTACCCCTGAACTCAGACTTCCAGCAGTCGGGCTATGGTACTGGAAGGCCTACCCCCACCCAGCCATTGTCTCCTGGCCTCTCTGGGCTGAGGCTGCCTCTGCCTTAGTTCCCAGGCACTTGGCCTCCCTAAACGGGAGGTCTTTGAACTCGCTGTCCCCCTCCTTGTTTCTGGAACTTCATCTAGTGGAGGCTGAGCAGGAAATGTGGCTGAAGGGGGTCAAGCCGCTCAGCTCCCTGCCCTGCCCTCCTGGGCCGGCTTTGGCTGGGAGCTGCCGCCCAGGTTGGCTGTGTTTCCCTGGCCTTCCGGACATGGCTGCAGTGTCCTGAGCTGCTCTGGCCAGGGTGCTGGCTTGGCCTATGGGTCCATGATCCTGGGGTTATCAAAGCTGTTTGACTTATGAATACCCCATGAACTTTAGCCTATTGTTGAGGAAAAGCAAGACTTTCCCAGGAATTGTACTTAATTTTATAGCCCAGGGTAATGGAAGTGATAGATGGACAATTCCAAGCAGCCAGCCAAGAAGAACCTGGACCAACTGGGCCACACAGGAGCCTGGTGGACCCCCGTGGAAGCCGTAAGACCTCTGGGACTCCTGAGAGCTCTTATGCCCTTGGATCTGGGTCAACTCTTGCCCTCTGCAGCCTGAGGGCCTGCACCTTTGGGGCCGGCCCACGAATAGATGAATGAGCCTGGCCCGGACGTTTCCCATCAACAGTTCCTGAGTACAGAGTCCCAGAGACTCGGACAGCATCTGCTTCTCACCCACAGCTGCCTTCAGGGCCGAGGACCAGAACCTTCTTCTAACGAAGTGTTTCTTGGACAGCTTATGGCTACGTCTGCCAGAAGGATCCAGGCCACCATTTGGGTCTCTGGTGGCGCTTGAGCTTGTGGCATACCTTGCTCTTGATTTAGGATCCGCCACTCCTGTGCAACTCAGAACACGTATCATGGAACTCAGGAGCCTCATGTTCTGTTCTCTTCCATGTTCTCTTTAGGGAGTGTTGACTTTTCAGACTTTTGCTCCCTGAGATTTCAGCATGGCTGTATGAATGCTCGTCTGAAAAAAAAAAAAAAAACAGTGTCTGTGATAGAACCTGGCCTCAGGGACTTTTGTGGGAATGTGCAGCTTCTGACAATAAGCAGAAAGGAAAAATAGACAAAGGAATTCCCTCTTAGGAAAGGAAAGAAGGAAGGAAGGAAGTCTTAGCTAGGGACATGTAATGAACAGGAGACCTGCCTGTCCCCACCCCCATCCACCCCCGCCTCCAAAAACAGTGCCCCCCCCCCCTGCCCCACAAGGCTTTGGCAGCTCCTCACAGGAACAAAGTTCTTGTTCTCTGAGATGACTTTCTTGTCAGTGTTTAATCATTCTAGAATTCCGAGAAGCACAAAGAAAATAAACTTTAGGCATGAAAAAGCACCAAAGAGAAGATTCCTGTAATTCTTTTCCTGTAGGCCTAGTGGAGAACCCCATACATGTTGGGGGGGGGGGCTTTTCCTTCTGCCCTTCCATTTGTTGCTATGGATACATTAAAAACAAATTTAACAAAGCATGATAGCATGATGATGAAAAGCATGTGTGTGTGTGTGGGGGGTGTTATGTTTGTGTGTAAACTCAACAGGGCTTTATGACAATCTCAAACTAGATCTTGTTTGTTTGTCACTAGAATTTGTACAAGTCTATTGGATGTGTGTTCCACAATTTAGATAGAATTGTTCTTATTAGAAGTTCTGCTCCAGGCTAGAGGATTGGAATGTAGAGCACAAAGTCAAGACTTGGAGGATTAGCAATTAGGAATAAGAGAAGAGAAGAGAAGAGAAGAGAAGAGAAGAGAAGAGAAGAGAAGAGAAGAGAAGAGATCATAGAATGCACACACACATACATACACTGCACAAAAGAAGTTCTGCTCCAACGTTCATCAACACAGGTGGATATGTCTTCTGCTATTTGTGCTGACTTACTTAGGTTAGAGAGCATTTTTGGAGCACTAGAATAATTATGCCAATCATTCATTGTGGCACCCACCTATTAGACTTGTTCAAGATATGTGAGTTATTCGCCCCCTAATCTAAATGCTGAGGATAACTTTTTTTCTTGGCTTGGTTTTTGTCTTGGCATGGTTTTTTGTCTGATTTTAGGCAATGCTTGGCAGAGAGGGCTACCCCTGGCTTGGTGTCTACTTCCTTGGGTGCACGCTCAGGGCCCCAAGTGGTACTAGGGATTGAACCCAAGCCTCCTGCGTGTTCCAACCCACTGAGCCATCTCTCTGATCTCTCCTGGCCTGGTTTTATGCATCGTTCTCTCTTCTCTCTTGTGGCTATGTGTATGCTTCCCTTCATGGCTCTATGATTCATTTTCTCTTTCTCTTTCTCTCTCTCTCTCAGTCTCTTTCTGCTAGGTTGGCAGTGGATCATAGTGGCCCAAAAACCAAGTTTCAGAAACATCCTGCAGAGAGAGCCCTGAGTGGGGATCAGAGGGCTTTTTCCTGGAGCAATATCAGTGCTTGCTTCCTCTTGCTCTCCATCTGGTGGGTGGGGTTGCTGCATACTGTGTCAGAGGCCGGGCTGTTTGAGCTGATGATGTTTATGCATGAGCATCATTTGCTGGAATTCTGTGATTTCAGATGTCATATTTCTGCCATTCCCTTACTTGATTCTGGTGTCCAGGTGAGGAGAAAAGTGTTGCCTCCTACATAGAGGGACTTGGTGTTTTATCTGGTCCCTTTTCTCTCTCAGTTATCTTTATCTTTTCTCCTGTTACTCCATCTGTATCCTGATCCTGTCATTCCAGGGAGTCTGAAGAAATAGTGTTTTACATCTTCACTGAAGAAAGTGCTGGGCGAGGGAGTGTGTGTTCCCTTCTGGGTTCTTGGGTGAGACGTGGTTCTCGGCCCACATACCACTCTCCTCTTGGCATCGCTCCCCACTCACCTGAGCTTTCTCTCACCCAGGAGCTGGTAGTGATGGGCGCCCCTGGGTCCTTTTATTGGGCTGGGACTGTCAAAGTGCTGAACCTAACAGACAACACCTACTTCAAACTGAATGATGAGGCCATCATGAGCCGGCGGTACACTTACCTGGGTAAGTAGCCCGGGGAGGTAACAGGGACAGGGGAGGTGAAAGTGAGGGCCACCATGCTTATACATGATTGTGTCACTGGGGGAAGGAACAGTTGGGTTTTACATCTATTGTTACATCTAGACCACCTAACATCAAGCCTCCCTTACACACACACAGAGAGAGAGAGAGAGAGGGAGAGAGAGAGAGAGAGAGAGAGAGAGAGAGAGAGAGAGAGAGAGAGAGAGAGAGAGAAAGAGAAGAGAGGAGAACAAAGGAGGGAACAGAATTAAAACTCTGGGACTTCATTAAAGTCAGTTGAATGAACAGGGAGCTAGAACATGGGTCAAGGGTGATGCTAGAATTCCGTTTCGATCCTAGGTACCAGATGACCCCCAAGCATCACAAGCTATGACCCTGGTGGTCCCTGATCCCATCCTTGATCCAAAAACCTTCTGAGCACTGCTTGGGAGCATCCTGAAAGCTGACAATTGAACCTCCATGGAAGCAAATAGTTTAATTTTTTTCTTAGCAATTGCTCAAATTCAAATGATTGAATGCAAAATAGCACAATAGAATCCTCGTTTGCCTGGATGAGGTCTGTGCTTCCTGGTATGCAAAACTGGTTGTGAGCAGAAATAATCAGAACCAGAAATTATTGTGATGTATGGAAACCCAGTGCTGAGGTTTAATTAAAGGCTCAGAAAATTTTTCTCTTATTTTGTCAGCCCTTTTCATCTTCTCAAAAGAAGATAGACATTATTTAAGTTGGCAGCTGCCAGGCAAGAATGATGCCGGTCAAGATCATGCCCATTTAAGCACAGAAATAGGTTGTTTTTGCTCATGCACGTGGCAATTTTACATGCCCTTCTTCTTAAATTCCTGCTCTAAACACCATCCTTCTGGACTCAAAAGAAAGTTAATTTTAGGAGGACCTACTGATGAGAAAACATTGCTTTTTCCTATTCATTACACATAAATTCAGGGAAATCCAAATAGAGACTGGAGGTTCTCATTGATTTCCTTTCCCCTTATAATTGTAAATACTTTGCCCCAATGCACAGATCATATCATTGTTACTCTGTGTCTGGGGGTTGAGCTTTACTCTGAATTCCCAGCTCTATACTCATTCCCAGTTTATCTACTGCACACTCATTCCATGCTGGATTTGGCCTGTTAATTCTTTTAATTCCTTAAACAGTGTTTAGAGGTAGCCATTATTATTGTTTCATAGGTAAAGAAAACTGAGGTGCAAAGATATTCTATCACTTTCCAAGGTCCTATGGCTGATAAGTAGATGAGTGGAGGTTTAAACGGTTGTGTCAGATTCAGCTCATGGCCCGGAGCTCCTTAGAATTGGAGAGTTTAATCTCAAATCCTGTGGCTTGCCTGGTGTATAATAGAGACTCAACCTTGTTTAATATATCAGAGACTGATGAGAAGGCAATGCAGGCTCATTGTGGCTGGGGTTCTGGGCTCTAGCAGAGGCCCCTTTGATACTCAGGGCTCCTTGCTCCTCTGTTCAAAGGCCTGAAGGGCCAGGGTTACATCTCAGCAGCAATGTACATTCCTTGCATATATGAGACCTCAGTTCAGTCCCTGGCACTTCAAGGGAAAAAAAGAAAGAAAAAAAGAACAAAGACAGTAGGCCCTTGTTTGCTTGAGGGATTTCAGGGATCACATGTGGCCTCATATCAGACCTAAGTCATGGAAAGGAAATCCACACCTTGTGGTGAGAATGGTCACAATTCAGGGCCATCATAAAACCCAAATATTAGGGGCTGAGGGTGGAGACAAGGTTTGGGGTGTAATGGCCACCTGTACAGGGTTCCTACTGGTGAATGAAGAGCTTTCAGCTTCCGGTATGACTTCCAGAAATCAGCAATATTTCAGCTAATCTTAGGCACCTTATTTCTAATTGTTTCTAGATTCCTTTTGCATCTAGGTTCTTTGTCCATTTGTCAGTCCATCCTTCCATCCATCTGTCATCCATCTTCCTGTTCATTTGTCCACTGTCAGCTTCTTTTTAGTTTCTCTTAGGAAGAGGTGTGGTGTAATGATTAACAGCAGTAGGGGCTTTGGAGACACACAAGTTGGGTTTGAATCTTGCTTTGTGATCCAAGGCATATCGTCTGGGTCCACTTCACTGCAATTTTCACATGTATAATCAAATGGAAGAAGTCTTCCTATTTTTCCCACCGAGTTGTGAAATTGAAATGATGGCATCCAATGACTTGTATTAGAATGTTGCTAATCATTTCATTCACAATAACCCAAACTGTAGACAATTAAAATGCCTGCAACTGGAGAAAAATAAAGGTATTATAGTGTATGTATACAATGGAAATTAATTGACAATGAAAGGAAACAAGTCACTACCCTCAGCAACATGCACACCACAGATGGTGTGTTAGATAAAAGTCTGGAACCGACAAGTCTAATATATAGTGGCAGATATCAGCACAATGGCCATTGGTAGGGAGCTTCAATTGAGAAACAGCATGTAGGCACCTTTTGGGGGTATGACTGTTGCTGGTGGTGGACAGTTACATACACATGTAAATACTGTGGCAATTGTATCTCAGGATGCCAAAGGAAAGAGTATTGAAAAGAGTGCCTGTTTCAAAGAGAGCACTCTTACCTGCCCCACTGTCCCCTGATACCCTTTTGTGATTTATGAGCCTTTTCAGCATAAGGTAAAGGTAAAGGGCTGGAGCGATAGCGCAGCGGTAGGGCGTTTCCTTGCACGCAGCCAACATGGCTGACCCGAGTTCGATTCCTCTGCCCCTCTCGGAGAGCCTGGCAAGCTACCGAGAGTATCTCGCCTGCACAGCAGAGCCTGGCAAGCTCCCAGTGACGTATTCGATATGCCAAACACAGTAACAACAAAGTCTCCAATGGAGACGTTACTGGGCCCGCTTGAGCAAATCGATGAACAACGGGAGGGCCTTTACCTTTTTTTACCTTTCAGCATAAGAAGACCAGCAGTCCCATGCAGTAGGTGTTCCAAGCACAAACAGATCAGAGGTGTCCAGAGAAGGGGATGTGCCAGCAGCATTTTCCTCTCATGGGTAGTTTTCTCCTTGTTCTTCCTTAACCCTGTGCCTTTGTCTCTGCCCAATTCTTTGTAGGCTATGCAGTTACTGCTGGACACTTCTCTCACCCATCCACCACTGATGTGGTCGGAGGTGCTCCTCAAGATGAAGGCATTGGGAAGGTGAGGAGGGGTATCCTGAACTATCCAGGGCCAGGTTGGATGGTGGGGGTTGAGGGATGGATGCCCCAGATAGAGAAGTTTGGTACGTTTTTTGGTGCCTCCTTTTGAGTGAGTGATGAAATATGAAGCGCCTCATGTTTGCCACCTTCTAGCCACTTTTGAGACTTTCTGTGGAAACCTTCATGTGTGAAGACTCGTCCAAGATCCCTCCCTTCTCCATACAGTCTCTCCTGAGAAAAGTTTCTCACAGATGACTCTCTGAGTGGGTGACACTGAAGACTGTGTGGCACCCCCAAAGGGAAAGGTGTCTTGTGTTGCCTAACCTTAGATCCACTGCTCTCCCAAACGGATCACCACTGCCACTAGTTTCATCTCGGGCCTTATCTTGGGACCTAGCTTCTCAGATTTATTGCCCCGGTATTTAGAACTCCAAAACTCAGTTCATCCTGAAGGCTGGAGTGGGTATATACATGGTGGCATTTCCTAAAATGCCCATCCCAGGTGAGGTTCCATACCCTGGCAGGCATCCAGTATGAAGAACTATGCTAGTTGGTTCTTTTTTTTCCCTCAGTGTGTGTGTGTGTGTGTGTGTGTGTGTGTGTGTGTGTGTGTGTGTGTGTGTTGGGGTTGGGGGGGAGGGTCAGGCGGGATGGGCATACTTGGCTGTACACAGGGCTTACTTCTAGCTCTGTGCTCAGAGATCACTCCTGGTGGGTGTCAGGACCTTATGGGGTACTGGGGATTGAATTTGGGTTGGTCATGTGCAAGGCAACCGCCTTACCTGCTGTTGTATTGCTTTGACCTGTCTGGTTGGTTCTTTAATGCCAGGGTACAGGCAGTACAGCGGGAGTAGGTCCAGATGAGGGAGGAATGTTCATTCTTGACATGCTCCATAGTTGTTCGATAGAAGAGAGAACATGGGAATGAGTATGGGGTGTGATGAAGCCCCATGGTTAATGTCTGGTCATGTCTCGGGGGGGGTTTGAAAAGTGGGATCTGGATTCTGGAATGAACTTGATGAGGGAGACAATCAATGTAAGGCCATTGGAGCCTGTATCTAGGCTGAGGTGAATCAACTGAGGCGGCCTCTCTGCATGCAGTTCTGGGCTGGGCTCTTGCAGCTTCTTGGTAGGAGGTATGAGGTGCTGTTCTCCTTTAGGATCAGGTGCCTCCCTCCAAACATGAGGGCTGGTGAGGAAGTGCCCTGAAACATCAGCCAGGGCTGCGACCATAGCTTAGAGGTTGCATATGTGAGACTCTGATTTTGACTGCCCCACACTACAAACAAACAAATAACCCCCCCCCCGCCCCGCCCCGCCACGGGCACAGGATAGCAGGAATTGGGCTGGGGTGTCAGGGGAGGCATGCAGATGGATTCTGAGAACTTCAAAAAACAGATGGGTCACATGATTCCAGGGTCTAGTGGAGGGCAGAGGCACACAGAGCTGTGGCCAAGTGATAATGGTTCTAGGGCATCCCCGCTGTGGTCAGACTCCTCACTCCCATGTCACTGATGCCTCAGGCCAGTGGCAGCAGCTTCTTGTGCTCCTCAGCTGCAGAAATTTTAATCTGATTTTATTGCTCTCTCTTCTTATGGTCATGATAACTGTGTAGCCCCTGTCAAGGCTTGAGATAAGAAGGATAAAGTGTGTGTAGTTGATAGAGCCAGGCAGAGGGGATCCTAGATCAGGTTCTTAAGAAGGAAGTGAACATTCTGTTTTTATCTGGACAGGCTCTGGAGTGATTGTTGGCAGTCAGCAAAGTGGCTGTTATTCCAGATGTTTAAGCATGGGGGGCTGGTGAAGACTTGATTCCAGGACACCCATGAGAAACCTCTGGGTATTTGCTGCTGGTGTCAGGGCAGGAAATCATTCCTACCAACCTGGTGGTTTCCTCCCTTCCTGGGAAAGGGGTTGGAGCCTGGATCTTCAGACAGTGTTAAATGGGAAAGAACTTCTGTGATCATACCACTTAAGAAGCATGACATTAGTGATCCTCTCTGTGGTGGAGAGTTATACAGTGAACACACATATGAAAGGCTCTGAAAAGTCCTGCAGTAAAGGAATTTACTTCATTTTTAAAGCTGGCATTTCCCAAACTAAAGTCAGAGATATCCATATGGTTCTCCTGGCACCGATTGAATCATCCAGGGAAATTCTCAAGCAGTCTCCTCCATCCCTCCACCTTAGATGTGGCAACATGTTCTAAACCCTAATTAGTGGGAAGAGTGAAAGCCATTGATCTAAGAGGTGATGCATTTGCTAGGAATATGGAAGTTCATGGGTCTTCCTGGGTGTGGGTTTCATGGGGAGGCAATTTCTGCCTTGGGAGTGAAGGAGACTTTCTTAGCAGCCTTGGGAAAACAAGAACATGTTTGAAAAGTGTCAGCTCACCCACCCTGAACTTCATCCAGAATTCACATAGGATTTCCAGGATGTAGCCAAGAAATAACTTTGGCCATTGTTTCTCCATCTTAACCAGATTTTTTTCTTTTCATTCAATAGGTTTATATCTTTAGAGCTGACCGAAGATCAGGAACTTTAGTTAAAATTTTCCAGGCCTCCGGCAAAAAGGTAAAATCTGCAGTGTGTTTTGTTTGTTTGAGAGCTATCATCCTGTAGGAGCCAGATCTTTCCAGAAAATTGGTGCAGAGGCCCTTATCTATGTCCCCCATTTATTCGGTATTTCTGCTCAGTATGGGCATGACCTTCAGGTTGGAGGGATTCCCGCTGGAGGTGGGAGACAGGGGGTTATGATGGGTTGTGCACAGCTGAGTGGCAGCACCCTTTTAGGAGGTTGCCTGTAGTTCAAATCTTCATCAGCGTGGCTCTCTGAGGTGTCTCTCTGCCTTTCTTTGCCTTGTTCTGTGTTTATCTTTCTCTCTGATATGCACATCTACTCACCAGGGAGCAGGCACAGTTGAGCAAGCCCACGCTCTGGTTACCCCCAAAGGATTCTCCTTCTCCTGCTATCACCAGCTCTTTGCACACCCTGAACCCTTCTCCACCACTTCCAGGGGGGCCTTGCTGGCATAAAAGAAAAGCCCCAGGAACATCAGCCTGTGCCTCTTACAATCATGATTGAGTCAAAGCAGGCAAGATGCCCTGAAATTCATCCTGGGCAAGGTGTATCTATCTGCCCGTGTCTGTTTGTGGGCCTCGCCCTATGCCAGCTGCCCATCCTACTGGTCTCAGCCTGACTTTACTTGCAACCCCTTTGATGATTCTGTAGATTATTGAGCGTGATTTTATCAACTGCACTTTTAAAAATCAGATGACTTAAATTTTTTTAAATTTAAATTTTTTTAATTGAGTCACACAATTACAAGGTTGTTCATGATTGGGTTTCAGTTATATAATGTTCCAATACCCATACCTTCACCAATGCACAGTTCCCACCACCAGTGGTGGGATGTAGTTAAAAAAAAACTTGATGAAATGGAGGCTTCACCAAGAATACTTTACCCAGCTAGACTCTCATTCAGATTTGAAGGAATTTTACACAAACTCATGGATAAACAACAGCTCAGGAACTTCATAGACTCAAAACCAGTTTTAAAAAAAAAAGATCAAGGTAAGATCAGACGATCTTTTTAGCAGGTCTCAGGGAATACACATGCAGTGTGGGAGGTGAAGGGAGGCCTTGGTGAGCTCAGGGCAGGAGCACAGGGGGCTGGGTCTTGGGAGGGAGAGTCAGAGAGTGCACGGAGGTGAACCAATGCAGAGAGGAAGGGGAACACACGCTTCTCTCTGGGCGGGTTGTAAGCCCAGTAGGCAGCTGCTGCACTACTGTGCTTTGTTCTGAGGGAGAATCATTCTAAGTTCCCTCAAATCTTCTCACCAGTACCAAGAACAGAATTAGCCACCTTAATGTATATGCTTTAAATATAGTAACTTTTTTTTTTTCAATTAAAAAACAAATTTTCCTTGGAGCCAGAGTGATAATACAGCGGGTAGGGTGTTTGCCTTGCACATGACTGACCCAGATTCGATCCCAGGCATACCATATGGTCCCCCAAGCATTGCCAAGAATAATTCCTGAGTGCAGAGCCAGGAGTGAGCCCTGACCATTGCTGGGTTGACCCGAAAGTCAAAATGCAAACAAACAACAACCTAAAGACAAAGCCTCTTAAATGCAGCTTTGTGCCCTTTCCCCAGGTCTGCTCTCTGTTCCTTGAGAAAGGTGCCAGCCAATGTTATATTAACATCTCCTGTCCCATACAGAGCAAAAAAGTTTTATAAATGACCCCAGGTGAGAAAAGAAACACCTCTGTGCCACTTATAATCCAGAGTCCCAAAGAGAAGTGGGGTGCAGAATCTCTTGAGTTCAGCATTTGAGACCTTTCTCCACAAACTGACCTGTGTTTCTCCTCCAGACCTCTACTTCACCCTTTCAATGGAAAGCAAGCATTTGAGAGCTCTTTTTTTTGAGTCCCCTGCCCCCTAGCTTGAGGGAGATAGGGTTTCCTAAGTGCAAGTGTGATCAAATCATATGTGATGATTTGATGCATCTCTGTATTGAAAAATGGTACCATAATATGAATCTTCAGGATCACCTGACTTGGCTATTTAATGGTTCTTGAAAGTAAAATTGTGGCACTTGAACACACCTGTGACTCTGAGTATTTTTGGGTTTGCCGTTGGCAATGCCAATACTTCTCCCCCACCCCCCACCCCCCACCCCCGCTGCCCATGCCTCAGTTTCCCCAGTTTAAATCTGTCATTGTTTGAGTCAATGCCTGTAGCTGGGCCTGTTCACCATCTTTGGATCCTCCTGGTTTGGACGGGATTACATAGAGTTGCCCTCCTCTCACTGAGCAGTGGCCGCCGTAAATGGGAGCATGGGGGTGTGCGTGGGGGGGGCACAGAGCACCATGGAGAACCCAATTATCTACACTTTGAGGACCTCTTGACACCAAGTTCAAGGACAGACTGAGCTTACATGATGACATGTTGGGCTCTCCAGTGAATGACTGAGGGACCCCAGGACTTCGCCCCTTGCTGCACAGCTGTGCTGTACTCTTCCTCTGGGCCCTGACAGTGTGCCCAGTCTCTCCTTCAGCCAGCCCTCCCAGGCCTCCTGCTCTCCTGTTTCACTGTCTTCTTTGAAACAAATACATATTATTTTCTTTTATTTACTCGTGATGAAATAATAAAGTTATTCATGATTGGGTTTCAGGCATGCAACGTTTCCACATGGATCACTTCACCAGTGTCCACTTACTTCCCTCCCCCAATGCCTCCACTCCCCCAATTGCCTCCCACCCACCAGTCTGCTTCTAAGAGAGGTTCCTTTTATTTCTTTGTAAATTTTGGCGCTGTGGTTTCCTGGTACTGTTGCTGATGGGGCTCCATACGCATCTTACACCCTTTCATCACCACCTCCTCCCCCTCCTGGTTGAATGCCTCTCTCCACTATGGACCTTTCCTTCTCCCTGTTCTCTGCCCAACCCCCTCAAGTAGCATATTTCCTACAGCAGACCAGTTCTCACGTTCTATGTTTCCATTATTTTGGGGCATTTGTTACTCTCCCATTATGTTTCCTGATGTCCCAGTGTGAGAGATCTTCTGTGTGTGTTGGTCTGACTAGTTAGTCCTTCTGACTAACTTCACTCAGCATGATATTCTCCAGTGTTTCACTGTCTTCTCACTGCCCTCCTTATCATATTCTTCCTGATTTTTTTATATTTATTTATTGAATCACTGTGGGAAAAGTTACAAAGCTTTCAGGTTTAAATCTTGGTCATGCAATGATCAAACACATTTCTCTTCACCAGTACTTATTTTTCACCACCAAGAACCCCAGGGGAGAGGGGTTTCTAGCAGAACTGGGAGCAGAAGAGCTCCTCTTTGGCTCAGTGATTCTGGGGGCTGGTTATGTTGGGGGGAATGTGGCACTGGGGATCCAGTTCAGGGCCTTGTGTGTGTGTGAATCATGTGCTCCTCTACTTTGCACTCTCTCCCCAGCCCTACTTCCCTGATTCTGCAGTGGACTGTTACTCTCTTTCTACATCCCATCCTGCTTTCTTTGCAAGAGGAAAGGAGAAGGCTTTATCTCTGACGACTTTCTCTCTTCGGGGAAGGACCAGACCCAGGGTTCTCAGAGGCAGCCCCTGGCTTTCCAGAAGCATCTTCCTCCACACTCAGGACAGTTCTGACTCAGTAAATCTCCCACCCGCTTCTGCTTTGGTTTGGCCGAATTTGGTTAGACAGTCCTGCTTCCTGGCTTCACCACAAGGAAGTGAAAAAATGGTTCTGGTCTTGATTGGTTGATGTTGTTGGTAGAAATCACCACTGCGTGAGCGGTTCAAAAGCTGAGACAGATCTATGTCCCTGCATTTCCAGGGCGATGGGGGAATCACTGGTCAAGAACCAGTGACCATGAACCTGAAGCAGCTCAGTGCCAGCTCCTGTATTGTTAGGAAGTGAGTCGGTGAAGAGTTTGTGTGTCAGTACTTAGATGCATGGAAACTTGGTGTATGGATGATTTAACACTGATAAAAAGCTAAGTTAAATGGCCCATTGGGAAGAAACAGCTTCCCTGGGGCTCAGCCAGGGGGTTTGGTCCCCAGGGCTTTGCTTGAGCCTTAATGCTGACTAAGGCCCTCAAATTAGTGACTGACTGGTAAGTTGGCTTCCTCTTCTTTCCTTTGGGAATGGGTGGCCCTGAGGAGTTGGGGAGTGAGTGAAAGTGGCCTTGACATGTGACAGGGAGGGACTTTCACATCTTCCTGACCCAGGGTTAGTTGCAGGAAACAAACCAGCATGGCTGCCACCTCCCTCAAACTCCCCTGAATCTGCTGCCAACAAACCTGAACAGCTGAAGAAAATACTCTTTTGGTTACTTTACAATGGCAGTACTTTTATTTGAAAGCATTTCTTTCTTTCTTTTTTTAAAGGACACTCAAAAAGTAGTAGAAGTTGCAAACTCGCAGTCTTTGGAAACGATGTAGCCCACAAAAGATTTTGTCGCTTATGGAATACATTTATTATATTTCTATTTCTAAGAACTAGTTGCCAGCATTTTTAAAAAAGAAAGATAGAAAGAGGACTGCAAATAGGAGTGGAGAGTTGTGGATTTCTCTTGAAAATTGGCAAGGCTAGAACTGAGGATGTGGCTCAGTGGTAGAACTCACCCCTTAAATGCTGGAGGCTCTGGGTTCAACCTCTGGTCTCCTTTCTCTCTCTCTTCCTCCCTCTCTCTCTCTCCCTCTTTCTTTCGCTGTCTCTCTCTCTCTCTGACACACACACACACACACACACACACACACACACACACACATAGACACACACGGGAAGGTTGCCTTAGCATTTCAGTTTGCCACAGTTTTCACTTTCCTCTCTTTGATTCTAAAATCCCGTGTATTTTGCCTTCAATAAGCACACTTGAGCTGGGACCTGTTTTTTCTCCTGCCTGTGTTATCACTTGGCATTTGAGTTTGAGATTCTCAATTTAAATAATAGGTACTTGGTTAAGCTATGAAAAAAAGATCCAGTCTAACCTGGCTGTATTCTCTCACCAGTTCATTAGCCCTCTGAGTTGTCCCTTTCTCTGTCACTTCTTCTCAGAGCTTGCTCACCCACCTTTGTGCATGGGGCTGGAAGAGGGAGGCGCTGGTTTTCCCAGGTACCATCTGTCTCCAGCCCGCCTGCAAGGTCCTCTTCACTTGTTCTTGCCTGTCAGAATCTATGGGGCACTGGTCACAGCGGTGACCAGTGTCTACAGACCGCGGCTTGTATTTCTAATTAGCTCTCCGCTCTCCTGGGGCTCCCTCTGTGTGTGTTTTCCCCTCAGATGGGCTCTGGGGCCTTTCTCAGAGGGTCTCTGCCCCAGGGAGCTTCAGTCCTGGGTTGACTGAAGGTTGCATCACTTTGCCATAGAAGGCCCATGGCAGTTGGGTGGGGGGGACTTTGCTGCGGGTCTAGGCCTCCTTGCTCAGCCTCTGTTACCTCGAAGGGGTCGGGGAGCCAAGTTTGCAAAGCCGCGGGGGCCGGAGGAGATGCGGGTTTTGCAGAGGGCGGACACTGAACGCTTTGTTGCGACTCGGCTTGGTTGCAGATGGGCTCTTACTTCGGCTCCTCCTTGTGCGCAGTTGACCTGAACGCGGACGGCCTCTCTGACCTGTTGGTGGGGGCCCCCATGTTTTCTGAGATCAGAGACGAGGGGCAGGTCACCGTCTACATCAACAGAGGAAACGTGAGTATAGGGTGGGGTGGGTGCCATCCTGCCAGGATCGACCTGCTGGGAAGGCTCCAGGTGCTGCTCAGCCCAGGGAGAAGAACCAGCTTCTTAGCCACCTCCCCACAGCTCCATGTGTCCCCACACACACCCAAGTTGCTCAAGGACAACCCTCATGCCCTCATCTGCATGCTCGCTGTGCATGGGGACTGTGGCTCCTGCTTTCAGGAAATGATTTCAGTCCAAGGCAGAATAATTGCTCAGGGCTACCTGTTTCTCAGCCAGGAATCGTACGGTTCAGAGAGGTGAAGTCACCGGCCCCAGTTTGCACAGCAAAGAAGTGGCAGATCTGGCATCTATCTGGACCCAAGCCTGTAGACTTTGGAGCCACTGTACTTTGCCTCGGGGCTGTGCTGCCTTCCTGGGAACATGTGTCCATAGGTCCAGGCAGACGGGGGGCTGACTGAGACACACAGGGGCTGGGAGGAGTGAGGGAGGAGTTGAACTCAGCGTCCACGTGAGGCTCAGTGGGATGAGGTGGGAGGCCGCAGGGCCGTGTTAGAGTCAACTGAGCTCTTCCCTGGGTCAGTAATTACTCAGAAGGGCCAAATCTGAGTCACACAAGCTCATGGACAGAGTGTGTGGCTGTGTAGGGCCAGGAGCTAAAGGCTATTTGATGTTTCTGAATCACGATCCTGTGCCATGTGGTAGCCCACGCACCTTGCAGAACCACTTTCTAACCGTGTTCTGGAAGGCACAGACCAGAACAGGTAGAAATGTGGTTGCCACTTTAGAACAACTTGTGGGGGGTGTTTGCCATGCTGAGGAGAGGAGACCGCAGGACTGGGGGTCACCTGGGTTTGTGGAGGACTGTTAGGAGAAGCGAGAGGTTGGGCATTAGCCAATCCAAGACTTACCTCCCCTCTGAAAGCCTCTGTGGGGCCCCTCAGGCTGCACAGATGAGAGTCACTCACTGCACCCCAGAGGCAGAGGTGGGTGCCGGGGGGCCCTTCCCAGGTGTTTCCTGTTGGCGACTGTGCTCTGGGGGCGGGTGTCCTTCTCAGCTCTGGCATTTGATTGTTTTTCTGGTTGATTCTCTCTGTTTGTGTTTTCTTTTCCCTGTTTCCTCCGTCCTGTTTCCCAGGGAGCCCTAGAGGAGCAGCTGGTGCTGGCCGGAGACAGCGCTTACAATGCTCATTTCGGGGAGAGCATCGCCAGCCTGGACGACCTGGATGATGACGGGTTCCCAGGTCAGTAGGCTGACTGGCCCGGGCCCTGTGGTGATGTACCCTGGCTTAAGTCGCCCCTGCACCTGCCTGCCTGGGAGCCCAGAGAGGACTCCCTGTTCTCAATGCAGACACTTGGTCCCAGCTCTGAGCCACTGCCTCATCACTTCTTCTAGCCTCAATGTTCTTTGGTGTGTGTTGGTGGGTCAGGTGACTCTGCACGGTGGGGCCAGGTATGGTAGAGAAGTTAGAACTAGAGTCCCCCCTGCCCCCCCCCCCCCCCCGGCCACGAGCCGCCTTGTTTCTGAGGCCCGGTGCCCCTCCACAGAGTGAGTGGCAAGCCAAAGGACAAAGTTGGAGGTTTCATTATCTCCTGATCACGGCCCCTGGGGAGGATTTTGTTGGCTTAGTGATGGCTCCTGCCAGTGGAGGGGCTTTGGAATGTGTGGGTGTTGGGCTAACTGGACTTGAGGCCCTGTCTGGACAGGGGTGACCTGTCAGTTCTGGGCATCTGTCTTGCTCCTGTCTCTGCTGGGTAGCTTCTACCCTCACTGTGTGCACCGTACCAGGACCTTGGCAGCCATGAGCCCAGGGGTGGTAGTTATGGGAGACGAGCTTTGGCCACTGTTGCTGCCGGGCAGGGCATACAATGCAGACCATGCACATCTCCACTCAGAGTGAACCCCCAGCAGAGGGGCGGGACCCATGCGCGAGGACCCACAGGTGCGTGCACCTCTGCCTCACAGTGCTCTGCAGACACGTGACTTATGGTAGCAGTGGGAGAAAGAAAGTTGTGTGCTGGCTCCAGGCGTCTTCAGTTTGTGAGTGTGCAGTGTGCGTGCATGTATATTTGCATGTGTGTGTGTATGTGTGTATGTGGCAGGGAGTGTTAGGAGATGGCGAATGCCAATTTCTATAATCCCTTTATCTCAGAATGGAGTCAGCTTTCTCAGTTTTGCAATGACCATTGTCATCGAGTTTCCTGCCCAGACAGGCCATGGTTAGGGGGGCATTCTTGGCTTTCCCATCCTCTAGAGAAAGATACAGACGTTTGACTTTTTTTGGGGGGGTGGAGTCTTCCAAGCAGTATTCTGGAGTCGAGAGAGTATTCCTGGTGAAACTTGGCTAATAGGCTGCACGGTTCAATGCTTGGGTCACCAGGTGCCAGGAAAGATGAGAGCCGGCCTTATTGCTGCCTGGAGCCTGTGTGCAAATTTGCCAGGGTGAAAACTTGGCCCCTTGCATATGTAAGGTGTATGGGAACCCTTCACCCCAAGCTATCTCCCTGCCCCAAACACTTGCTGTTCATCAAATACAAAATCATATTCCCAGATTTCCAGTTCAGATAGAAACGAGAGTGGTTGATGTTTGTCTTTCTTTTGTTTGATGGAGCCATGATTTCTCCTGTGACAATGAGGTAGAAACATATCTTGAACTAGGTCTTTTTCAGTTTCTGTAATTTTCTTTTGACTTCTTCCCCCCGCGACCCGCCCCCCCCCCATCCATACTAAGAGATTTTATGTCTAATTCAAGACTTGAGAAATCACCAACGAAGTTGTTTCTGCACCAAGGGGCCCAGGATGTCAGGAATTAGGAAAAGCAAGCTCAGATGGCCTCATGCACCTTTCTAATCAGAGCTGTTTCTCCCCTGCAGATGTGGCCATTGGTGCCCCCAAGGAGGACGACTTCTCGGGCGCTGTGTATATCTACCACGGGGATGCTGCTGGGATCGTGCCTCAGTACTCAATGGTAACAGTGGGAGAGGAACATGGGGGCTTTCACGCAGCACTGGGGGAGTCCGTCTTTCCTGTGCCCCAAACTTGAGGGTGCAGAGGAAACTCAACACTGCCGCTCCTGCCCTCAGCCATCCCCACCTGAGTTGGAGACCATTGATATTGTGCATCGGCTCCAAAGTCAGTTCACACAGTCCTGGGTTAGCGCACGCCCAGGCATGTATCCTGCCTACAGAAGATAACATCTGTCTGTGTGACCAGCCGTTCGGCTGTTGATTTAAGAAGCACCGCTCTTCCTTTTCTCCCCGCCGCTTTTTTTCCCCCCCTTCTTACTCCTTTGTCAGTGCTAAGCCAAAGGCTAGTGTTGTAAAGTAGAATCTTGTCGAGGAAGAGAGAAGGGGTGGAGAGAGCTGGGCCTGAAAATGGTCACAGGGCTGCTGCCGAAACTGGCTTTGAATCAAAGAGCTGGTCATAGGTTGGCCTTGTGCCCTAGACTTGGGAACATGGAAGTAACCACTTCTGTTTTCTGCGTATCAGCATGGTGTTCAGACTTGCTGATGGTGTGAGCCCAGCCCATGGGAAAAAGGAAGTCCCTCTCTTGACAGAGTATCAATAGGATATTATGAATGTCTGAGCAGAGAGTGGCATAGCCCTGGGCTTTTCTCCCTGTGGGCCAGTGGCAGAAAAGAACTGAGCACATTGAGAAATTTCCTATCAATCCTCATTGATTTAATGAGCACTTAGCTGCTTACCTCACCCCAAAGACCGTGGGCCTTGGGTCGACACTGCTGCTAACTCTGAACTGTGTTTTGTGCTTAGCTATAAAACAAAGCAAAATAGGAAAGTCTCCAATGTTGTTCATGTATGAAAATGTCTCTGGGTGAGGAAAAGGTTTCTACAGATTGACCTGACCTCCCTGGAAAAGCACGTTCGTTCAGCACATACATTCACAGCTGTTTCTGTAGCAGATACGTCAATTTAGGGGTGAGGGTTGGCCTGTGGCCCATAGAGCTTCAGGGTCCCTCTGTGCTGGGCTTCCCGCACAAGGGGCTGCTGCTTCCTGTTTGATGGCACTGGGAGGCAAACCCTGGGCTTCACTCATGTGAGGCATTTACCCTGCCACAGAGCCACGTTCCCAGTTCCCCATGATTGAATGCTGGTCCCTCTCTCTTCTTTCATTTCACCTCTACCCTTGCCATGGGAGATGGTGCCTCTCTCATACAACTTTGACTCACCGGGGAGCTGCAGCCCCAGGGGGGTTATTTAAATGCTGAAGGTTAGCAGCTAGTAAGTGGCCATTGGCTCTTGAAATTTTGTGAGTGGGACTCCCTAACGTTTTATTGTAATGCTGTGCTCATCTCCTTGGGAGAAATGGCACTTAGGGATGTCAAAGTTTTGGAGACTTGCTTTGCCAGGAAGCCCCCTTACTCTGAGGGCAACTATGTCTGTGGACTGCCTTCTTTTCGTCAGAAATGAGGAATGGTGGCAGCAACAAACTCAGGGGTGTCATAAGGAAGGGGGCTACATGTGTCTCACCAGGACCCTGCAATGTGTTACAAGGATGCTGCTCCCTGTATGGCAGGCTGCAAGTCATTTCAGCTGCCCTGTCCTGAGGTGGCCCTTGGGGTCACTCTCCATGCATCCTCCTGGAAGCTTGTTCCTGGACCTCGGAAGCTAATCACACACGGGCCACTGCGAGAGACCCCGTTTCCCATCTTCCTGGCCCTCCAGTGTTTTGTTTTGTTGCTGGGTGGGATCCCCGCAGCCAACTGAAGGATAAATTTTGTGGTCAGTGTGGAGTGTCCTTAGTAGGAAACAGAAATCAGCATCTGGACGGGTCCTGCCTTTGTCAGCAGGCGGACAAGCTCGTTAGCTTTGACAAAGAGAAGTGGTTTGGAGCTCTGCAAATTTAAAAGGAAAAAAAAAGGATGATCCATATTTTTCCAAGCTGCTAATATGTACTTGATAAGGTCTGTGACTTAACAGGTAAGAAAAAACATCTCCCCCCACCTCCATCCTATCCCCCAATTTTAACGACAGATTCACCAGGGCCTCGGGTGAGACAGAGCTGTATTGTAAGGGGAGTGAGAAGGACAGATCCAGAAAAAAACTTTGGGTGAGGGACTGGCTTTTCTTTGGCCCAGACTGGTGTTATTTCTGCTGGATAAATTGTGAGATCAGGGCCCAATATTCTTCCACATTACTAGTTAACTCCTTCCTCTTCCTCCAGTTCCCCATGAAGTGTTGATTTTTTTAAGATCCTAGTGTGGCTTTCGAGATTGGGGGAGCCCCCCGGGCCGTCACGACAGCCTGTGATCTTTCTGCTCCCCTCGGGACCCTGCCTAGGAAACTGGTCAAGCAGAGGGTTTTTTTGGGCTCCTGGTTTTCATTTACGGTTATTAGCACTGAGCAGACTTATCTTCCTGGCTTTATGGCATAATGGTCTGCAGATGTCTGCGGGATAACTTAAGCTCGCCTTGCCACCCCCAGATGGACCACCCCTTCACTCCTGCCCCCTACACCCCCATTCCAGCCACAGCAGATTCTGGAAATGCAAACCCAGCTGCTGCTGCTGCGGCTGAATCCGAGAGCTGAGCCCCTTTGCTTTAAGATGTGGCTTTTGAGAAATACGAAGACGCACAGAAATGTTTGTTTAGCCAGTGCGGGGGGGGGGGGGGCGGTGGGGTGGGGTGGGGTGGGAGGGGCGGGTGGGAGGGCATGGGGTCTGCCTGTTAGCAAGGGACATTTCTTGAGGGTTTCCTCCAGTGTCCGAGTTTGTACTTTGATGCTTGCATGTTTCCTGTCGGCCAACTTAACTAAAGATGGCAGGCGGGGGGGGGGGGGGGGCTGAGGGGAGGGGAGGGTTGCAGTTACTCGATGCTGGGGAGGGGGGAGGGGAGGGGGCCACAACCCTGCTGTCTCCCTCTGTAGACCCTATGAAGCACCTCCCCCACTTCCTGATTTCTCTGCATAATGAATGATTCCAGTATGGGAAAGGATAAGGGGAAATTCAAAGTGAGCTCCTGGAGACTTAGAAACCTGGTTCTAACGTGGGTTTTGGCTCATGGCATGGAAACCAAATTCTGATCCACCATGAAGGCACTGGAACAAGGTTCCCCAGGGAGCCTGGGTAGATAAAGGGGAAGAGGAACAGGTCAGATCCCAGAGAGTGGGGGCTACGGTGGTTCAGGGACTTTATATCTTGGTGAGGAACCACCACAGATAGTGCTGTGTAGTGTCAGCTGGTCAGGCAACAAGTATTCTTGAGCCAGTGAGCCATGCAGTCACATATGTTGAACTTAATGATGGATAAAATGTGAGTACAGCTGCTGGTATGATGGCAGTAGAGCTGTAAACTGAAGAGATGAGCAGAGTTTGGGGATCCCCCACTAGTTTATAGAAGGCGCAAGACCATGGAATTGGAGAGTTACTGAGTAGAGCTGCTTCCTCATGGCTCTGAGCTGAGTCCATGTCTCTTCTGTTTGGCTTGATGGAGAGATAGTTTCCAAGTGACCATTGGTCCCAGCTTGTCCTGCCGTCTGCTTGTCTGTGTGGACCGTGTCAGGGAGGAGTGCTACACCCTTAGTCGATGCCTGGGTAGAAAGAGATAATGAAAACGAGTTTTTTGTTTTGTTTTGTTTTGTTTTTGCCAGCTGTCTCTGTGTGAAAACAAAACCGGATCTCTTTCAGGGAGGGACGATTTCAGATGTCGATTTCACTGTGCCAGAACCTTAACACACTAATCTAGGTGGATTTTCTTGTTAGCACTGAACTCAACAACCTGAAGTGAGATTTGTTGAAGGCTAGCAATAAGAAATCAGAGTATTTGGGATGGTGTGCGCTTCCGGTGACTCGATTCCCTATGATCTGTTTCAGAAACTGTTGGGGCGGAAGATAAACCCGGTGCTGCGGATGTTTGGCCAGTCCATATCAGGAGGCATTGATATGGATGGAAACGGCTATCCTGGTAAGCTATTTTTCTTCTACAGGCACAAGAGATAAAGATAAAAGCCGGAGGTAGACTGCTTGCCAGCCTGGTAAGCTGTGATTACCCCTGTTTGGGATTAGGAATTCACACAATAGAATGGGGGTGTTTTGCCTGGTGTTTGCTTTGAGGGTGAAAGTATTGATGTTTATTTTGGGCATGTAAAATGATCAACTCTGAAGGGTTTGCTCACTGGGAGGATGTGTCTCTGCAGTGATTTCTGTGGGGGTGAATCTTTTAAATGAAGGGCACTGTCTGAATTTAGAATGATATATCACGAAACTTCATATTTTGGATATTTTTTTATATAAATCATGTTCAGAGGGCTCTTACTCTTGAGAGTGAAAAAAAGGCAGCCAAACAGCACCACCCTCGCCCCCAGTCACCACAAGATTATTGAGAGAAAGACTTAGAGCATAAAGAAAACCATATGCTCTCTCAAACTAGCAAAAATAGACCTCCATTCGAGGCTAACTGACTTGTCTCTAGGGCTAATAAATGCCTGGTAGTAGTTGAAGATAATTAAATAAAATGAACAATTGCCACCATAACCCTAAGCTATAACTGGTTTGGGGCAGTAGGATAGTACTGTTTTGGCATCTGAGTGAGGAGAGGTGAGAAACTGATAATACTGCAGGGAAAACAATCCCAAATCATCATGGCATGCAGAAAAGAAAAGGTAAAGGCCCTCCCGTTGATCATCGATTTGCTCGAGCGGGCCCAGTAACGTCTCCATTGGAGACTTTGTTGTTACTGTGTCTGGCATATCGAATATGTCACGGGGAGCTTGCCAGGCTCTGCCGTGCGGGCGAGATACTCTCGGTAGCTTGCCGGGCTCTCCGAGAGGGGCGGAGGAATCGAACTCGGGTTGGCCATGTTGGCTGCGTGCAAGGCAAATGCCCTACCGCTGTGCTATCGCTCCAGCCCTATAAGCTACTCATTCTTTTTAAGATTGCTCGAGCGGGCCCAGTAACGTCTCCATTGGAAACCTTGTTGTTACTGTGTCTGGCATATCGAATACTCTCGATATGCCAGACACAGTTGCCGGGCTCTCCGAGAGGGGCGGAGGAATCAAACTCGGGTCGGCCATGTTGGCCGCTTGTAAGGCGAATGCCCTACCTGCTGTGCTATCGCTCCAGCCCGCAGAAAAGAAATGTCCCTGAAATTATAGATCAACTTGCTTTTGAGAAAAAACATTTTCTCATTTAAATTGTCTCTGCAGGATCTGTGCAGGTGAGTGCAAGACTGCAGGAATTACTCTGCCTTGCAATTTCTCAGGGGGCTTTGGGTCTTTCTTTGTAAACTGTCAGATCTGATAGAGAAGTAGGAACCTAAGAGGCCGGTGTTGAAGGTTTTGTCCAAGACAGACCCGCATGGGTCTTTTTAAGTTTGAGAAAGCATTTTTTCTATTCAGGGCAATTTATGGTCATCTTTAAACAATACCTTACGTTGGCTTTTCACTTGACTAGATGCTAATTTCCACATACGATGTCTGTCTCATACCTGGTCGGTAGGTAGAGATGAGGTGCCCCTGGCTTCACAGACAAGGAAACTGAGCCTCAGAGAACCCAATGGGCTGGCCAGAGACCACAGCATGGTAGACGGGGACCCAGATAATCATACCAAGAGCTCCCGAGTCACACTTTCTGATATCTCTGAATTTAGTTGTGTGTTTCTTGGAGGAAATGGCAAAATTTTCAAGGTTTTGTTGTTGTTGTTGTTGTTCTGTTTTAAATACCCAAACATGTAAAAAAAAGTATCAGAAAACAATGAAATTCACAGCCGTGCTCAAGTACAAGTGCAGACTTTTTAGCAGCACCTGCCATTCATGTATTCGAGACTTACTTCTCCGTAATGAAGGAGTCCCAGAGATGAAGCAGCTCACCCTCTCTGTAATTCAGATGTTTGGGCTGAGCAGCTCTAATGCAAACTCCAGGGCTAAATGAGGGAGAAAGGCAGAGAACCAGTGGGCGAGTGCACATTTGCTAGGCTGAGTTATTTAGGAGGGAAGATGACCAGCTCCCACTTCTGTATTGTTTTATAGTTTAGGTCCTTTCATGAATTTTCAAATTTAAATGTGTGTTTTAATGTATCAAATGCATATTTAAGCCAATAAAAACAATAGTGTCTAACAAGTGTTTAATTACTATCACAAATAATATAAATATTGGTTAATAAGTGATTAATATATAATAAATAAATATTTTCTGAGTTAAATATGAAATGTTAGCTTTTGAAGAAGATGGGGAACATTTTCTTCATTGTTTAGACAGGGATACTCTTCAAACTCTGAGGTCATAGAGGGACGGAGAAGAGAGCATTCACATGTTCTGTCTCATTCAGAAGGAATACAATGTGAGCCATTTATGTGATGGGAAATATTCTAGGAGTCACATAAAAAAAGATAATAAAATATACAATTAAATTTAATGCCTTATTTGGCTCAATATAAGTTGCATATTTCTAACATGTAGTCAATATAAAAATATTAAAAGGTGATCCATTTTTTTTGTATGAGATATTTGAAACCCAGTTTGTACTTTATACCACTGGTGGGCCATCTCGCTTCCTGCTGTCTCTCCATGCCTCAGCAGTTCATCTGGTGACTGGCTATGGAACAGTGTAGCTCTGAGTCTCCCCAATTCATGACACAGTCTAGAGGGCAGCTGTGAGGGCCTTCTGACCTGGCCTAAGGGGTACCTCCATCCTGGGGACCCTTGTAAGGATGGGGATGAACTTCCACATGACTCTGAACCTGTAAATTTTCTGGTCCACAGATGTCACGGTCGGAGCCTTCATGTCAGACAGCGTGGTTCTTCTGAGGTGAGCTGCTCTTCCCCTGGAATCTGTCCTCCACAGGGGAGGGAATGGGGTGGGTAGGTGGGACATGGGGGAGCTATTTTCTGTTCCTCAGCAATTCCCTCCAACCCACTGCTTGCAGGTGGAGGGACCGAAGGAATGGACAAGAGCCTTTGTTTCCATGTTCTCCTTATCCTCCCTCTCCTTAAGCTGCCCATCTTAAATAGCTTATTTGTGTAGGGTGATAGGTTTTGAGGCAGAGTTTGGGGATGCCTACACCCCTTGACTTCTTGCTTCTTGATGGTCCACACATCTTCCTTTGCCTGGAAGCCAGGACACTCCCAGGCTGGACCTCGTTGTTGTATCCTGTTTCTTCCTGCCCCACACCTCTATGGCCCTCACCTCCTAGGGACCTGGAGTCCTCACATCCTATGGGGGAGCACTTTTTTCCCCGTGGCACCAGAACCATGGGGGCAGGAGTTCGGGACCAGTACAGTCTGGCTCTCTCCTGTAAAGATCCATGGTTGCCTCCCTCCCCAGCACACCCCGCTACCTCCAAACCATCTCCCGGTATTTCTGGCTGCATGAGTCAGAGGAGACCGGATTACACTCGGGGTGGGAGCCAGCTCTTAGGCTCTTAGTTTTGGGGAATGACCTGATGGCAGAACTTTCTAAAATAGGCAAGGAGCATCTCGGTGGAGCTGGACGGGGTCCCAGAGGCCACACATTCCAAACCCTCCATGCCTTTCCCTCAGCGATGCCTCCTGCGTCCCCACCACGGCGTGACACAGCCTCTTCTAGAAACGGGTGTCCTCTTGGGAGGAGGGAGAGGGGGGAAAAGCGCTGACTCGTGTCAGAGGGAAAGGAACGAGTTACTCGAAATGTTGCCTTGGCAAACAGGCAGGGTGGCTCCGCGACCAGGAGTGTGATGTGTGTGTGCGGCTCTGTCTTGGGCGGTCAGTTCCTGAGGGAGATGAGTGAGTTCTCTCTGGGGACTCCTGCCTGTGAAAGAGGGGAGGAAGAGCTGCACTTAGCACAGGGCCTTGGGACAGCCGCTAGTGGGGGTGACTTTGACGGAAAGAGTGAGACCTGTCCCCTGCAGAGTGAAGGAGGCACCTTCCTTCTTTAGCAGGTGCAGCTCTGCAGAGACAGAACCTGCCTGGTTCCCCGATCAGCCCCACGGGGCTGAATTCTCCTCTCTGGATCAACCCTTCTTCTGGGCTGGGGCTGAGAATTTTCCTTCCATGTTAGGGGAGAAGAGCTTCTGAGACTGCAGGTGTGTGTGTGTGTGTGTGTGTGTGTGTGTGTGTGTGTGTGTGTGTGTGTGTGTAGCTTAATCCAGAGGCTTTGTGACATTGGTTCCACTCTCTTCAGTATCCTGGGATGCTCGCTCTGGCTCAACAGGATTCCCTTGCGTCAGACACTTTCCCGGGCTTCTGCCTCTTTTTTTTTCCTTTAAAATTTGTTTTGGATTTGTGGGCCACACCTGGCGATGCTCAGAGTTTACTCCTGGCTCTGCACTCAGAAACTACTCCTGCTGGTGCTCAGGGAACCATATGGGATGTCAGGGATCAAACCTGGGTCGGCTGTGTGCAAAGCAAGCACGCTACCCACTGTACTATCATTCAGGCCCTGTTTCGGGGCTTCTTGAAATGATAAGACATCAGGAAGGCCATCTCAGGACAGAGAGCACCCCCTGGCTGCTTCTGCCATGGCCAGAGAGATGCACAGGGATTAAGGGACTTACCTTGTTTGTTTCTGACGCAGGTTCAATTCCCAGCACCACATATGGTCTCCTGAACCCTGCCAGGAGTGATGCCTGGGCACAGAGCCTGGAATAAACCCTGAGCACTGACGTATGTAGCCCCAGAAAATAAGAGGAAGTGGGCCGGAGTGATAGTACAGCGGGTAGGGCTTTTGCCTTGCATGTGGTCGACTTGAGTTCGATCCTTGGCATCCCATATGGCCTCCCAGCAATGCCAGGAGTAATTCCTGAGTGCAGAGTCAGGAGTAACCCCTGAGCATCACCAGGTGTGACGACCTTCACCCCCCCAAATAAAAACAAGAGGGAGAAGGGTGCTGTTGAAGTGGGGTGAGAGATGAGAGTCTGGGGTGGGAAAGTGTCTCCTCTCTTGAGCCAGCACCACCAGTTGGGATCAGGTTTGGGACCAAATGCAGTTTGGAACAATGCTGAGGGTGAAGCTGAGGGTGACATTCTGGTCTCTTCCAAGAATGGTTGGGAAGACTTGAAAGATGAGTGGGGGCCCATCAGAAAGGGAATGTGGGGGCACCCTTGGGGGTTGGGGTGGGTAGGTTGATCTGGAGCTGCACCCCTGGCGCAGGTGCCGGGATGGCGGCAGTAAGTGGCCGTGGGGACCGTGGAACTGGTCATGACAGGGCTGACAGACCCTTGCTGGACTTGGGGTTACCCTTGTTTGGGTGGGGCCAGTGTGAGACCCAGAACCGAGGCCTTTGAGTGCACCTGCAAACCCCTCTACGCTCTGGGTCCCGGAGCGTGCAAGGAGGTGGGTGAGGAGAGTCTCAGGGCTGAGGCTAGCTGTCTCTTCTCGGGTCCATTCCTCCCTGCACCCTGTCTGCCCCTCAAGCAGTACCGACCCCTGTCAAAAAATCAGTGGGATTGGCTCTCCCCTGCCCTGAGGTGCCTGCCATTCCATTGTTTCCCTGATGGGAAGAGACATCGCTTCAAGGCCACATAGTGCTGTCCTCGGGGACCCTCTGCTTTGATCCCAGAGACTGGCATGTTGGCAGGTGGGTCTGTGACACCCCATTTCCCACTGCCCCCCCCCTTTCCGCTGGAGTGCGGGCTGGCCTGGCCCTGCCCTCGGGAAGTTTGTTCTGTTCGATTAGCTGGAAGGGGCAGGTCTGGGGTCAGCAGGAGAGGCGCCTGGTGCCCTGCCAGGGAAGGGCAAAGGAAATGATCAGAGAAGCTCATGAAAGATTTCAGGGCTTTTCCTGGTCCCCAAACAATACTTGGAGATGAAACAAAAAAGGTGCAAGGAAACTGAGGTGCCCAGTTGGGGTGTGGGGTACTGTGGAGGGGGTGACAGGCATGCCTTTCATTTCCCAGGATGCCTTTTGGCAGCCCTGGGTGCTGCCATCTGCTCTGTGTGTGGCTGCCCTTTCCCCAGCTCTAATGCGGATGGTGGAGGAGGGCTTCAGGCACCTGCAAATGACGTGAGGGTCAGAGGAGCACTCAGGAGGGAGACAGATTGTCCTGGCACCCTGGTTGTGAGGACCAAAGGGGGAGAAGGGGGCAGCCATGTCCCCGGAATCCCAGCCCGCTCTCTGATTCCCCCTGTGCTCTTCCTGCCTGCCGTCCTCTCGAAGAGCTGCTCTTGCTTCTCCTTCCTGTCTGTCGCATGTCCTGGCTGTTCTTGCTATAGGATGCTTGCGCGCAGTATAGGCTGGGGTTGCCTGCCCCCTGACCCCTCAGCTCACCCAGTGCCCTGGAGGTGGGTGCCTTTTCCTGGGGATTGAATGGAGGCTCCCTATAAGGCAGGGTGGGTGAAGAAGATGCTGAGCACCCCCTCAATGGTTTGCAGAGGGCACAGTATCACCTTTTCCTCCCAGCCTTAGGCAATTGGGTATGTGACACCCTATTTCCCATCCCCTTTCCGCTAGAGTGTGGGCTGGTTTGGCCCTGCCTTCGGGAAGTTTGTTCTTTTGGATTAGCTGGAGAGGGCAGGGGTCCACAGGAGGCAGGACAATCAGTTCATCTGTCCCTGCCTTGGGGTGGTGGTGGCCGTCTCCAAGGAAATGGGTGGGTTGGTGCTGCATTTTGAGATCAGGCGGTCAATCTCAGCTTGGAATATCAGCAGCTGGCTGTGAGCAGCTGGGACTCCATTAATCAAGTTCGTTGATAAAAATACTGAATAAATTAATGGCAGTAAATGAAGGGGGCGGTTTGACCCTCCAGATGGGACTGGAACTTTGTGGTTCATGGGGCAGGGTGGAGGTGGATCGGGGAATCCCCATTGTGCATCTGTTTGTCTGGTCATGCACCCACTGTGGGAACTCGGAAACCAATTCTTGTCTGACAGCGGAAATAGGAATCTGGTTCCTGGAATCCTAGGCAATCATGCCAACATCTGGTGGTTCAATGATGGCTTCAACCAGATGGCACTTTATTAGCCAGTTCGCCTTTATTATTGGGAAACTGACCATTAACCATGAATTTATGAGGAAACTGGCCACTATTTGAGGCAGAACTCTGCCGAGTTCTGTCCCCCTCCTCTCCACAAAGCGCCGGGCTGCAGACTCAGCCTTGATTCTGTTGCATGTGGATCTCAAACTACATCTCCTTCTTCTCCCCATGTGCAGGGCGAGGCCCGTGATCACCGTGGACGTCTCTGTCTTTCTCCCCGCCTCTGTCAATATCACCGCCCCCCAGTGCCATGACGGGCTACAGCCCGTGACCTGCCTGAATGTCACCGTCTGCTTCAGCTTCCGTGGCAAGCACGTTCCTGGAGAGATCGGTGAGGAGCCAGGGCTGGGCCCTCTGCACTGAGGGACCTTGTGAGGTTGTGGTCAGGGCAGAGAGATGTCTCTGGAGTTCACTCTCCTGGTGCCCCAAATCCTCTTTGCTTCCGGGTATCCTTCTCCTCTTTCGTCTTACCATTGTTTCCCTCATTTAACACAGTTTCTAGTCCTTGGGTGAAAAATAGTCTTTGACCCCAGATCTCCTATCCCTCGAGGAAGGTGGCTCAGACTGGAAGCTTACTGCAGAGCAGTGGGAGAGTACAGACTGAAGCTTGCCCCACCTCATGTTCCGTATATTTGTGGGGAAGGGGGGGAGAATGCTGGCATTCGCACCCCCCCCCCCCCCCCCCCCCGCGCATTGAGCAGTAGCACCTGACAGATGTTGGGGAGTGGAGTTTTCTTTATCGTGGAATTGTAGGCCAAGGATCGATGGTGGGCTTGGGCTGCTGACTTTGACAAAGACTCCAGCCTCCAAAAGAGGCAGCGCTTAGTCTGATTGACAAGACTCAGGCATTGCCCTGGCCAGTGACAACCATCCCAGCCTTTGGTCTGCCCAGGGTAGTTCTCTGTATTGGGTTCTCTGAGACTTGGTTCGGCCCTGGCATAAGACAGCCTCAGAGTCAAGTAGAATTCAGAGAGTGTGAGAAGCTGCAGGGAGTGAATCCAGAAATGCTGCAGATGCTTTGCTCTTGACTGGGAGGGTAACAGAAAGAGAAAACAGCTCTGGGGAAAGGGTGGTGACAAAGCACCTACTTAGTGACCTGTGCATTGGGGCCCCTGACCTCTTCGAGTATGACCCTAGCAACGGTATTTGCAGTCCTTGCGTGGACATTAGCACCTTAAACCCCCTACCTCTCACTCTGCATTTGAGCCACGTGTGTGCACACAAAGAATGCTCTGAGAAGTGTCCTGGGGCACATGCATGTGCACCCCCCAGGCATGCAGACATTCGCTTGCAGGCTCCCTCCTTAGCTGCACTCTGCACTTCTGTTGTTAACAGCATTACCAGGTCCCCTTGCCTATCTCACTGGTGCATAGTCTCCATCTACAGGTGGACAGAATATACTCAGCAGTTAGACCTGGAACTATACCAGCTTCTCCCATCATCCCAGAGTCAAGCATTTCTGCTTGGTATGGTTTGGTAGGTTATTTTTGGAGTTTAGCAATGCCATTCAATGCCATTACATTAGTGTATATGGAAAAAAGATGTTGAGCATGCTAAGCGTTTTAAAAAATAAATAGTTTAGCAAATTATGCCAACTAGGAATGTTCTACTTTCACATAGTGGAGAAAACCTACACAAAGATGGTTCTTTGGGCTAAAGTGATAATACATGCATGAGGCTGAGCAGGATTCAATCCCCGGCACCACATATAGCCCCCAAGCCTGTCAGGAATGACCCCTGATTGCAGAGGCAGGAGTAAACCCTGAGCACAGCCTAGTGTGTCCTCTATTCTCCCCCCCCCCCACCGATACACAAATCAATACTTGGGGTAAGTGATCTCCTTGCTGTTACAGTCCCCATAAGCTTGGAGCTAAACCTCAAAGGAGGTGTGGGGAGCTAGTTCTGGGAGCCAGGATCAAAGGTGAGAACTGACTGCAGGGGCAGAGGCAGCATGTGGCCTCAGCTGGGTGATCTGACAGCAGCAGGCGAGAAGGGCCAGCCCTGCAGCCTTCCTCCAGCTCCCTCTCAGCAGTGCCGAAGAAGAGCCGCCAGTACAGACCCAACAGGGTTTGTGGAGTGCAGACACAACTCCCCAAACCAGAGAGCCAATGTCTAGGCCCGCCCCTGCCTGCTGAGTCCTTCCACCAACACTAGTTATTTTGCTCTTAAGAAAGTGACTATCATGGGCTGGAGTGATAGAACAGTGGGTAGGGCATTTTTCTTGCACGTGGCTGACCTGGGTTCTATCCCCTGTATCCCATAGGGTCCCCCAAGCTCTGTCAGGAGTAATTCCTGAGTGCAGAGCCAGGAGTAACCCCTGAGCATCGCCAGGTGTGACCCAAAAAGAAAAAAACAAAGTGACTGTCAACCCCTGTGCGCAGCCCCCAGCACGGCGCCATGCCTTCCCTGAGCTTGGAGTTTGCTGTCCACTGGGGAGGGAGGCCATGTCTGGACTGCAGCAGTCCCTGTTCTGGAGGCGGCTAAGCCCGACTGTGTGGAGCGTTGGCTCATGTTGTGGGTAGACACAGTCCCCACTCTCAGAACATTGACGTCAACACGTCACATTTCATCCAGCAGTTGAGAACGAGAGTTCTGCTCAGCCCCAGTCATCTTCTAGACTTGGAGAATGGCCTGGGGCTCCCTGGAGCCCCCTGACTGGTGTAAGTCAGCATGGGAGCCCCTGCCCACAGGTACCTGCTTGCTGGCCAGGATAGGTGGCGGTGAGCGTGTTGGTCTCTCTGGAGTGGAGAATCCGGAGTGGACTCTCAAGAGAACATTACACGCTTTGCTCCTGCATGCCCTGGTCTCTGACTCCCCTCCTCACCACGCCCCTCATATCTGTGTGAGGGGCGCCCACTGCGGCTAGACTCACACAATTCAGCCCTGTCCTAGGATTCAGAGCCATAGCCCATAGCAGAAATAGGATCAGAACCAGGTTCCTTGGTCCCTCCCCTGGCTCTAACTTAGGGCTACCTTTCTTTCTGCTCCTGAGAGTATTTGTACTCAGAGAACATTCTCTGCGCTCCTTCTGTGTCCAAAGAAGCATTAGGCAGGTCCATGGGGGTCCTCAGGGGAAGTGTTACTACATCCTTCCCGGGAAAGGGAGACCACTCAGAAATGCTAGGAACGTGGAAATAGCTGCCTACCCTCTGCCTCCACCCTCACCCCCACCCCCTGCCCCCACCACAATCCCTCCTGGGAAACTGAAAGGAAGAGAATTTGCTGGTAGAATTTCACAGCTGAACTCTTGTTCTGAGGGAAAGCAGGAAAGACTGGAGAGGCAGTCTTTCCAGAGGAAAGGCACAGAGAGTGACAGAGCGGGGGTTGATGTGAGACAGCTGGCTTCCTCCTGGCCCCAGGAACCCGCTGGGGGCAGGGGCAGGAGCCAACTGAAAGCATGGCTTGGGGCGGATCAGCTTTTCCTTCTCCATGACATCATTAGGCGTGACATGGACTCCAGCTGCCCAGGAGGACCTGCAGGAAAGCCAGCATGCGTGGGGGCAGTCTAATCGAGACCAGCATCCTCGCCCTGCAGGGCTGATGGCTTATATTAGATGTGGCCCCTGGCCCAGCTTCTGCCAGCCCCAGGCACCCACCCTTCCATGGAACCCCCAGGTGCTGAGCCCAACTGGCAGCTCTTTCAGCCTCTCCACCACCCCTTAGGGACTCCCTTTTGGACACACTGAGGGGTGGGGTGCTCCAAGTGATGGAGCACATGCAGACACATGCATAACCTTGCTAGGGCACATGCATAGCCCTGAGCTCCATCCCTGAGCATCCCTGGTTGGTGGTCCAGGGAAGGCCAGACACCTCTGGGCGTGGTCCTCATGAAAGTAAATGAAGCTGCCTGCTGAATCTGTGCTCTGGACACTTCCAGCCTCCCAGCCACACTTGAAGCTTCTGAGACCCTTCCCAGAGACAGGGCTCCCCTTCTGTTGGGGCTTTCTTCCTAGAAGAGTTTGTTATGGAGCTGGTTCCAGGTATCATTAAAAAATGTCAACATACTTTTTACATCAAGGAGATACACCAGGTTGGCAGTCCTGAGGATGAAATGCCTCTGAGATGTGTGCACTTGGCAGACGGGGCAGCTCAGCTGTCTGTGAGTGCAAGGGAAGACACTCTGGAAATCTCATAGGTGGATGTGGAGTCTGACCCAGAGCCCCTTGCTCAGCTCTCACTGAGTTGGGTATCCCTTCCCTTGAGTCACAGGAGGAACATACTAGGTGTGACAGTTCTGCAGTGAGTGGGGCCTTGGGGGAATCGGTTGATGTTTGTGAAGGATCCAACAAAGGATGTAAAGCATCATGAACTCATTCATGTCCCTGACTTGCCCCCATTCATTTCAGAGTCTCCAAGGGGCGTGTGTCAGGGGTCTTTTGTTGATTCAGTAGCTGGTCCCTGAGGGCACCTGAAGGGAAAGGGGATGGTGAGTCAGGAAGGGAAGTACAGTGCACTAGCCCATGTTCTCCAGAGGACCAGGGTGTGGTTCTCCAGAGAATATGTGTCTGGAGAGAATAAATATGTCTATAAAGAATATGTCTATGTAAAGAGTATGTGTCTGCAGAGAGAATATGTATCTATATAGAGAATACATGTCTATAGAAAGATACTTGTCTGTGGAGAATATATCTATGTAGAGAAATATGTACCTATAGAGTATGTGTCTATGGAGGGAATATGTGTCTATGGAGAGAATATGTGTCTTGAGAGTATGTGTCTCTAGAAAATATGCGTCTATAGAGAGAATATGTATCTAGAGAATATGTGGCTGTAAAGAATAGGTGTCTATAGAGAAAATGTGTCTAGAGAATGTGTTTGTAGAGAATATGGCTATATAGAGTATGTGTCTGTATGTGTCTGAGCTCCCCTCTCTAAGACAGTGTGCAAGCAGAATTCCTTCTGTGGGAGGACCTCAGCTTTTGAATGTCTTTACCTGATTGATGAGCCCACTTTAGGAAGGGCTCTCTGCTTTATTTAAGGTATACTGATTAAAAGATCAATCTCCTCTGGAAATTATCTTCACCCAGGTTGGCATGGGATATCAGGGCCTACTTAAGCAGACACATAAGCCACCACGGGGCTGAGGAGATAGTACAGGGATTAAGACACGTGCTATCCATGTGGCCCAGTGCTTGTTCAATCCCCGGCACCACAAGGGCTCTCAAGCATTGCCAAGGACAGCCTGGAAGGCATCTGAGAACCAGGTGTGACCCAGGTAGTCCCCAGAAGGGCCTCATCACTGAACACTAACTGACCCCGGTGGGCTAGAATCACTGGGAGTGGCCCCAGGCCCTTGAGCATTGCTTGGGTGTTTCCCCTCTCCAGAATAAGAGAAATAAACCATCATCACAGCAGCCAGCTAGAGGGGGTGTGACCAAGCAAATTACCAGTGTGGGCAGCTGGAGTGGACTCCTGCTGGGCAGCCCTGGGAGTGACCGTGTGTGGACACACTTCGGGAGCCTCTGAATTGCCTTGCTCCCAGGAGGGGGTCCTCCAAGGATGCCATCAGCTGGGGCCTTCAGTTCTCTCACAGGTCTCACCTGCCCTGCATGTGAGTAGACAGAGCCACCCCAGACAGCCCCTGAGAAGGGGAATGCAGGTGGGGGCAGACACAAGCTGGGCTGGGCAGTAGAGAACTGGTCAGAGCCAAGGCCCTGGGAGGGGTGCTGATGCTATCTGCTCCATCTTCCTGTGTTCCTTTCCTCCCAGGCAGGCTCGCAGCACACAGCTGGCAAGATGCTCAAACATGCTGTTCTTTCCATGACCACCCTTCCCCTGGGAGGGCAAGGCTAGTGCTTGCAGAGGGAAGGCAGGAGGGGCCCACAGAGGAGAGTTCGCTTTGCAGCGGCCAGTGCCTTGTTGGGGCTATTCACCCATGACTTCTGCTTTCTTCCACTAGTGCCAGCTCTAGCCTTGATCTTGCTGAGCACCGTGCAGATGCTCATTTATGCCCATCAATTATACGTATGCTTTCTTTCTGCTGGCTGTTGTTCAGGAGAATGAAAGTTGGTCAGCATTCAGTACGAGATCCCTGTACTTGGATGGTTCTGCTCGCTGAAGTAGTACATCACAATTTAAAAAAAAATTGTGTTTTGACTGGGGTAGATGGCTCAGTGGACTGAGCTTATGCTTTGCATAGAAAAGGTCTGGGTTAGATCCCTGGCACCTCATGGTCACCTGAGCACTGCTGGAAGTGACCACCAAGCAATGAGACAGGAATAAGTCCTCAGTAACTCAAAATGTAACCCCCCAATAAACTCACACACACACACAAAACCTTTAAAAATGCGGGGACCAAAGAGATAATACAAGCCAATCCTGGTTCAACCCTTAGCATTATACATTGTCCCTAAGTACAGTGAGGAGTGACCCCCGAGCATCACAGGGTGTGACTTCAAAAAACAACAGAAAATGTCTTTAGGGACTGAGGAGATAGCACAGGTGTCAGGGTCCTTATTTTATATGTGTGGGACATGCATTCCTTGACCAGCTCCCCAGAGCCCCAGCACTGCCAAAGTAGCCCTGGAAGCACCCCAGCACTCTTGAGTACCCCTTCATGGTTCTCAGCATCCTCAGGACTTAGCATATGACCACTTTGCTTGGTGAGTTAAGTATTACTGAGTTAAGTATTACCGGGTGCTCCGGCTACTATTTGAAAGCACTTCCATAAAAAAAAAGTGGATTTTTTTTTAACCTAGGCAATCTAAAAAAAAAAACATACCAAGAGCCAGTGTGGTTTGAAGAGCTTGGTAACTAAGATCAGGAGAGTCCTGGGTTCCATTCTGCAGTGGAGGGTTCTGCACCCTGGAACAAGTCTGTTCCCTTTAGTAGTTTCTTCTTCATCAGGAAAATGAGGGTTTGGAGCTAGATGGACTCTAAGATTTCTTAAATAATTGCCAGTCCTGCAGAGCCTGGCAAGCTCCCCGTGACGTATTCGATATGCCAGACACAGTAACAACAAAGTCTCCAATGGAGACGTTACTGGGCCCTCTCGAGCAAATTGACGAACAACGGGAGGGCCTTTACCTTTTACCTTTTACCAGTCCTGAGTGGGCCCCATCTCCCACCATGGTCCACTGAGGGTGGGGGTGGGGGTGTTATACCATGCAGAGGCTCTGGGGTTTTCTCTTCCATCACTTCCCCACAGGCTTTCTTTCTGTTCTTACCATCACTGAGGGCTACCCAGGAGCCCTCTGCTGACCCTCCCTTGCCTCAGAGATTGGCCCTTTGCTGGAATAAACAAGCTGGGACAGGTTTGCCCTGCAGGAATCCCCCACTGAGCATAGTGAGATCCTGAAGATGGCAGTGGCCCAGGGAAACCATTAAAAACACCAAAAATATGCCATGAGGCAGCTGCAGGAGTGCCTGTCCAGGTCACTCCCCTCTCCTCTGCTGTCCAGCTTCTCACACTTCCATGGCCTTGACTGTGGCTAGTTTTCATCCTTGGAAGAGTGGGGCCTTGAGGGGCTGTGGGCTGTGCCATCTGCAGCCGCACCTGGTGGGGTCAGGGGCAAAAAGTTGCCATCCCCCTCACTGAAAATGCCACGTTCTCCCGAGTCTACAAAAAGCTACAAAACAGTTTAAAAAGTTGAAAAATGAAGCCTTGTGGAGTGGCCAACCTGTGACATGGTCATGTGTACATAAAAGTGGTGGCATAGGTTTGTTGACCCTAAATACCCACTTAAGCAGATCAAACTTTGTTATGTATTTACTCACCTTGGAGTAGTGGAGGTGACCCTTCTTGGGTTTGTGCAATGCACATTTTATGTGGTGACAAGCTTCAGATAATGGCACCGTGAGCCCTGGCGTAATACCTGGAGGTCTAGGGGCTGAGGGTTTTTTTTTTTAAACTGGGAGTGCAGCTCTGAACAGACCCCACAGTGGTCTTTTGTTGCGATATGAGGCACCAAAGCACACTTGATTCCCTTGTGGCCATGTGGAAACGCTGCCAGCTCCAGCCTATCCCTAAGTCTCTGCACAAGTAAGGTCCCCCAAGGGCAGGGCTTTTATGTGTTCATGATTGAATCCTCGGGAACTGTGTCCAGCTCCCAGGGCTCTGGGCACCTGACTCCCAGAGGGCAGAACTGTTGTCTCCTGTGGCTGGTGCTGGGCTGTTACAGAGCTTGATGTGAGGTAAGTCAGTATTGTTTATTCTGGGTTTGCGCCCCCCACCCATGAGGGGGCGCCTCTCACACCACTGAAATGGAGTCAGATCAGGGTCTTGAGGTCTGCGCTGGTGTCATCTCATCCACTCCCTGATCACATTGGATCCTGCTGATGGTGGATGTGTTGCCTGCTGGTGATCCTGTGGTGCTTCATGGGGTGTAAGTGGTGGTGCTGGGTGCCTGGAAGAATGACATACACGCAGCCCCACCAGGAAGATGGGGGACTTCTTGCTCACCTCCCCGTTCTTTGAGGGTGCCAGGGAGCACTCCTGCGTGAGGGTAGAGGCTGTCCCTTGTGGGAGGCGTGCCCAGGGCCTTTTGAGCAGGAAGGGATTGGGGCGTGTGGGAGCCTGGTCCCTGCCTCCATCTTCATGAATGCTTCCACCCTGTTTTTCTCGACAGGCCTGAATTACATCCTGACTGCAGATGTGGCCAAAAAGGAGAAGGGCCAGGTTCCCAGGGTCTACCTGGTGCTGCTGGGAGAGTCCGTGGGCCAGGTCGCCGAGACCCTGCAGCTGGTTGCCAGGGAGGAGACCTGCCGTCACTATATAGCTCACGTGAAGGTCAGTCCCCATGGTCCTCAGGGGTCCATTTTGGAGCCTGGGGAACTGCTTTTCTTTTGCGTCACCTAATGCTCGAATTTCCTTTTTTCACAAAGAGGATGATACCTGCTTCTCTTTTATTTATTTGTTTATTTATTTAAAAGTTTTGGGGACACAACTGGTAATGCTCAGGGGCTACACCTGGCTCTGCACTCAGAAATCACTCTTGGTGGTGCTCAGGGGACCATATGGGATGCTGGGTACAGAACCTGGGTTGGCTGCATGCAAGGCAGGTTGGCTCCTGTACTATCTCTCCAGCTCTCCACTATCTCTCCTGCTCTTCACTTCTCTTTCAAAGTCACGTCTTATTTTTTTTTTTCTTTTTGGGCCACAACCAGCATTGCTCAGAGGTTACTCCTGGTTCTGCACTCAGGAATTTCTCCTAGTGGTGCTTGGGGGACCATATGGGAAGTCGGGGATCAAACCTGGGTCAGCCGTGTGCAAGGTAAATGCCCTCCCCACTGTACTATCGCTCCAGCCCCTCGTCTTATTTTTTTTTCTTACTCTCCTGGTCTCAGCCTCTTAGGGAGGCAATGCTAATCAGAAGACCAGTGGTCTCTGTGGCTTTTCATCTCCCCTCTGAGGCCCCCTAGATTTCTTATAGGAGAGCCACATAAGTAGCCCCCCCCCCCCCCCACTGGCTAGCCCCACCTGCAGTAACGCTAGATCACACCATACCTGATGCCTTTCTCAGTAGGCCCCTACTCAATTCTTGTATAGTCATGGTTAAGGCGTTCTTAAAACTGGCAGGGCTAGATTTTCATCTCTTGATTACTTTCTATTTATTTTTAGCAGTGCATTTTTGGCTCTTTTCCCTCACACTCTAAATAAACTTCAGAAATTGTTTGTCAAATACACTTGGCTGCTAATTTGGGAGGGCAGGCTTTGATTAGCTGCGAGTTAGCCTCAGCTCAGGCAGGTGCTGGCAAGGAGTTCTGGCAGTGCCAGATGGTTCAAGATTGGTCAGCCCCTAAACTGTGGGAGAGGGCATGGAAACCCCCACAAACCCAGCACACCTGCAGGTGGAATGAACGGAAATGGTGCTGATCACCTTGACAGGTGGTTACATAAATCAACCCTAGCATCTCGGAAACCCTGTGTTCAGTGTATCCGGCATACCTACCAACCAAAATGAAACATTACATGACAGATGTGCTCAGTGGACCCAACCAAGCAGAAAGTCTGAAGCGTAGCATTATTATTTGGTTGTGCTGAATAATCGTCAATGGCCTGACAGATTTCACTTATAAAAAATACCCACTTCACTGGGTTCAACAGAGTATTATTAGCTGTTGGTGTCTGAATGGTGGTAGCAAAATATAGCCTGCAGATTGGAGACGTGGCGTTGTTGTGGGATGTGTTGTTGGAGCCGGAGCAGGAGGCTAGCAGCCGCTTCTCCATGTTTCTGGGTCGTGTGTGGAGAAATGCCTCACACAACCACAGCTCGTGGCCTGGCCCAGAGCCAGTGAGTCCATGGCCCTGAGATGCTTTCACTGGGGCTGGCTCTGTCCTCAGCCAGGACTCGTGCTGGGCCTGCCCAGACCAGCTGCTCTGAGGCCCCCCGAGAAGGCCATGAATAAAGTAATTCATGCGCCTCTTATGCCAACCAGCCAGCTGCCCCTTTAGGTCTTCGCTGACCTCAAATCCCGGGGGTGAGCCCATGGGTGTGTGGCCTCTGGGGACAGGCTCTGTTCAGACATGGCAGGACTGTGCTTGCTACCACTGTCCGGGGACGTTTGTCATCTCGTGGGATCCCCATGCCTGATGACTACAGTCTTCCACATATACATGCTTCTCTCCAGGGTTTGCTGTGACTCTGGCTCTGGCTAAGAGGTACCCTTTGCGTGTAGGGATTCTGGGCTCAGGAGACATGCTCAGAAGATGCCGGGCTGTGCTGGAAGCAGAGGAATGGCTGCTGTTGCTGGAGGCTGCTTTGGATTGATGCTCCCCAGAGTTGTGCGAGTCCTTTTACTTTCTGATTCCAGCCATGAGTCAGCAGAGGGGAAAAGAAGGAGGGGGGAGAGGGGCTTAAGTTTGACCTGACTCTCAGAGAAGCAGTGGCTCATCTCTTTGTGCTACGAGTGTTCCCTGAGCCTGTGTGGGCTGTGTTTACAGGAAACCCGGCTCATAAGAAGCTCAGGTTTACCGGGGCTTTTTGCTGGCATGGCGGGAGTCCAGGTTCTATCTACCCATCCCACCAATGGCACACCATGATTGGTCCACACTCTACCAATGTGGAGAGAGATGGGACAGCAGCCAGGGGTGGGGTGAGCACACACCCTCTCATGATGATATAGGTCCATTTTAGAGAAGGACACATCTGCAGGCCTCCCTTGCCACCAGACGTGGAGGCTGTTTTCTCCTGTAAGGAGGCCCCAGTAGTGGGATTCCAGGGTATGGTACATGCCTCTGAGTCCTGGAGGGCCCCCAAGACAAACTTCTCCAGGCAGCTGGTAGTTTATAGCCACGAGAAAGATTTCTCCCCTTCCCATCTCCATCTGGGCTAGAGATGATAGAGAAGGAGCTTTGAGGTGTAGGCTGGGGTGGCCCTGCAGTGGAGGGGGCTGGGACTGAGGCTGGGTGTCCCCCTGCTGAGGGCTAACAGCAGCGGAAGCAATGGGTCTGGTGGTGACCTAGGCAAGGGCAATATGAGAGAGCAATGGGACCCCCTGAGCCCTCTGGAGTCTGGGTGGAGGGTGAGAAGGGTGCTCATGGCAGGTTCCTGTGGGGCAGAGTTTCTCTGGAGGGCAGAGAGAAGGCTCTCCACTTTACAGAGGGTGGAAGGAGGATAAAGGAAAGAAGGCTCCAGGCTTATCACACACCATCTGGGCAGCAGAGCCTGGGGCGGGCGGGGTGTGCAGTGTTTAGGCTGTCTGTAGGTGTTTGTGTCTTTTTCGTCTTTAAGTCTATTCCAAACTACCCCGCCCGCTGCTTCTCCCCAGAAGCTTTCCTTCCAGAGATGCGAGAAACAGCTCTGTCACTGGAGGGAGGCCTCGCAGGCAGGTGCAGTTCCAGGCTGGCTCCTGTCCATGCCTGCCAGGGTCTGCAGAGACTCCTTCTGTGATGACAGGCCCCTCTTGCCTTCTTGGCCTCTGTGTCCCCGTGCCAAGCCTTGTCTTCTCTCCACTCCCAGACCAGCCGAGTCTGGGTGATGGGCTCCCAGCTGCTGGTGAGGTAAGCCAGAGACAACTGTGTAGCTCCCACCAGCCACAGAGGGGAGAAAGACCACACCCCTCCCCTCGGCATCGGGGCTCCCACCACTTGCCTCAGTTTATCTTTTAGCCCCATCTTCTTCATTACACTCTTACGAAGCTCAGGTTCTTGTCAAAGTGAACTACTACTCTTTCTCTCTGGTCTGATACTCACCCTAGCATCTTGGGAACTACTGCCCTCAGAGGTCAGCATGGGGACTTTCCTCAGACATTGAGTGACACCGGCCTGGTCTTCATTTTTTCTTGGGGGTTCTTAAACCTCTTCTTCTGGCCATGTCCCCCTTGTCTGTCCTCCAATAAGTCAGCTCATTTAGGGCCTTAAGTAATTTTTTTTGAAATTTTTATTAGTGAATCACTGTGAGGTACAGTTACAAACTTACAAACTTTCATGCTTGCGTTTCAGTCATACAATGATCATCTCTCCACCAGTGCCCATTCTCCACCACCAATGGTCCCAGTACCCCCCCCCCCCAACCCTACCCTGCCTCTGTGGCAGGGCATTCCCTTTTGCTCTCTCTCTCCTTTTGGGTATTGTGGTTTGCAATAGAGGTATTAAGTGGCCATCGTGTTCGGTTTACAGTCTACTTTCAGCACACATCTCCCATCCCAAGCTGCCTAATCCCCCAGCATGTGAGGTAGGGCCTTAAGTAATTTTAAAAGAAATGATATACCACTCTGTAAGCCAAATGTTAATCATGGCATGCCAAAATAGGAAATGACTATTTGTAAAAGTAAAAAAACTGAAGACACAACCATGTCACTAATTTTTAACTGGATTTCCTTCGCCAAAGTCCCCTAGGATGTGGCTGGCTCTTCCTGAGGTGGAAAGGGCAACTGGGGAAGTGGTCCAGACCCGGCGGCACTGCCTGAGTTTGCTCCCTGATGCAGGGGCAAGCACCAAAGGGGTCATGACCCAAGAAGAACTTTCTGGACACAGAGCCAGATCCCTGTGCCATGGGCAGCTTTGAGTCCCCACTGGGCAGGCCTCTTCCTTCTTGCCTACTGAGGGCTGTCACTCTTCAAGGCCCAGGGGTCCACAGTTATCCTAGCCCTGGCTAGCCACTCTGACTTTCTGCCTCCTCAGAATGCCCGTGCTGCCTGGCTCCTGCTTTGGGAATGATGGGCTATGGCTGTGATTTATTGGATATGCACGTCATTTGAATAACAAAATTGATATATATTATGTATACATACATATGTGTACGAATAATGTTTTTGCGGGGCGTTATTGTTGCTGCTGTTGTTTGGGGGCCAAACCTGGTGTTGATCAGGGAAGCAGATAGTACTGGGATTCTAATCCAGGGCTCCCCAACAAAGTGTGCACTCTGGCCCTCATGGCTTGTTATTCGTATTCTGACTCAAAGTTCCCCCAGATCCTCAACATTTTCTAAAAGTAGTGATGGGGCAGGTGTCTCCTGTTAATGAATGGAACTGTCAGAAAAACACCTAAATTGAGGCTAACCTGTGACCTTTGAGGAGGATACGGGGTGGAGGTCAGGTTCAGTGGCTAATGGTCATTGATTGAATGTTCTGGGCCATGAGAAACCAAGAAGAAGGAGCTTGGATATCTGAGTTGGTGAATGAATGGAGACTTGGGGAGAACAGAGTGCCTGGGAGGGGCCGGATGCTGCTGTCCCCATCCTTGTTCTGTGTTTCTCTTCCCTCTGGCTGTTCCTGAGTTTTAGCCTTGTAAGAATTGCTGTCTAGCAAGAAGCCTGGGTTCCTGGATTCTGGTAAGATCCTGGCCTC